CCCCCCCCCCGCCCCCACCAGGGATTGAGCCCACAACCCAGGCATGTGCCCTTGACCAGAATCAAACCCAGGACCCTTCAGCCTGAAGGCTGACGCTCTATCCACTGAACCAAACCAGCCAGGGCAAAGTCCATAGTCTTAACTACTCACCATAGTATATTGCCTGCTCTCAATATACGTAATAGAAAAAAGCCAACTTGCAGAATAGTATGTATAATGCGATCTCATTTTTATAAAAATAATTTTCTTTATAAATGTGTGTGTATAGAAAAATCTGGAGAGTATATGCCAAATCTAACTCTAGCAGTGGAAGTACAGGAATCTTCTTCCTGATTTATATGTTTTTATTTTACTTTTATAATTAGACAAAAATTAAAATTGAATTTTAAAACAAAATTGGGGACATATTATAAGTACATATTTAATCCTGATAAACTCAGTTTTTAAATATAAGTTTTTAAACAAAAAAATTCTTCTCCTTAGTGTCTTTTGGGATGGTAAACCCACATATGTATTACTTAAACAAAGTTATGTCATCTCTGTTTTTGGACACTTCTGTGCCTGGTGATGAAAGGAGCAACTTTAAGTCTATTTGCAGCATCCCTGATTTTTGGAAGGTAAGGTAGCATGTGACTGTGGATAAAGTAGCTTTAGTTATTGCATAAATGTTTGGCACATGTAGTAGGCACTTGATACAGTGCATATTTGGTGAAGGAATGAATAAAAATGAATATAATTTCTTTATATTAGAGTCAACCAACCAGTGAGTGTTTATTGAAGAGCTATGTTCTCAGTGTGTGCTTATTTTTTAAAAAAATAAATTAATAAATATTGTCCTAGCCAGTTTGGCTCAGTGGATAGAGTGTCGACCCACAGACTGAAGGGTCCTGGGTTCAATTCCCAGTAAAGGGCATGTACTTGGATTGCAGGCTTGATCTCCAGCCCTGGTGGGGACATGTGTGGGAGGCAACCGATCAATGTATATCTCTCACACTGATGTTTCTCTCTCTGTCTCTCCCTCTCCCTTCCATTCTCTCTAAAAATCAATGGAAAAATATCCTCAAGTGAGGATTAACAAAAAATTAAAATTTAATTTTATTTTATTTAAAATAAAATTAATCTTATTTATTGCATTTGGAAAATAGAAAACTTGCTTCTTATGTGGTAGGATCCAAAGTCAGTCTATAATTGTGTATAGTGAAAATTACTCTTTAATTGCCCATAAAGTGAAACATATGTTATGTGGGTATACTATACAACCCTATACTGTGTGAGTGTTACAGTAATGTACAGTATATAATAAAGAGTATATATACAAAATATAATTTTATAGTGTTTTTAATTGCAAAAGAGAATAATTCCTTCAACATTGAAACAGATTTGTTTTTTTCATTACACTTAGCAAGATGCTTACATTGTGAGGAAAGAACAACTAAGAAAACAGTAGTTTCAGGTATCCCATGTCACAACCATTGGAGCTGGAAGAGGTGGGAAAGGCTTTCGAGAGGTGACTATTCAGTTGAGTTTTAGAGGATTAGTAACAGAAGGGCATTCTAGGAGGAATTAAGCAATATGTTCTATAAGTAATTCTACATATGGGGCTATATTTGACATTATAGGCATACTAGAGGCCCGGGGCACAAAATTCGTGCACTCAGAAGAGGTACCTCAGCCCAGCCTGTGCTCTCTCCCAATCCGGGAGCCCTCGGGGGATGTCTGACTGCTGGCTCACCAGCCATGAGCCCGGCTTCTGGCTGAATGGTGCTCCCCCTGTGGGAGTGCACTGACCACTAGAGGGCAGTTCCTATGTTGAGCATCTGCCCCCTGGTGGTCAGTGTGCACCATAGCGACTGGTCATTCGGCCATTCGGTCTATTTGCATATTAGCCTTTTATAATATAGGATAGAAGATGAGATAGAAAAGGCCAAACTATGAATTAGGTCAAATAATGAAAGCCATGCTAAGAATTTGGAACTTATCAAGGAGACAAGGTCATCGTTATCATTAATATTAATGTTGGCTTGGTCAATAATTTTCATACTCATTCTCAAAATCACTGATTTTTATATTCTTATGGATAACATTATGAATGTAGAGTCTGTTATTCAGTTGACATGAAAATATTTTTCCCATAACATTTATTTTTCCATGTGAAGTTTATGGAAGGACCCCTTTTGGAAGGTCTATACTGGGACTCCTGGTACAGTAACAGCCAATTGTATAATTCAAAGAACAGCAGTCGCATCTACTCTGAGAACATACTCTTAGGAGTCCCCAGAGTCCGTCAACTAAAAGTCCGAAACAACACATGCAAGGTCTATTCATCCCTTCAGTTTCTGATGAGCGATTGTTATGCCAAATACACTTCTGAAAATGAAGACATATCTGATTTTGGCCTTAAAGTTGATACTGAGTAAGTAGCATAAAATTACATGTAACATTTTCTAGCAGCTTACCATTGTATCTATAAAAAATTGTGAAAATATGTGTATTTTCCAAATAATACCAACAGGGGTCTTATTCCAATAATAGTATCAAAGGACGACTCAGCAATGCAGTGTCTAAAAAAGAAAAAGAAAGAAAGAGTTGAACCTGTTATTTTTTTTTGTCTCCCAAATGGTATATGAAGTGCTAACTCATTGGACACAAGGCAAAGTGTCCATTTTTGCTCTTATAAGACTCAATGAGCTCTTCTGGCTCTGGCCAGACTCACTTCAAACACATCCCAAATGCTTCTTGGGATCCCTAACGAGTATCCTAGGTGTCTTGGGCAACTTTCCTTCTTTCTTAGTGCAGCTTACTTCAATGATGTCTCTATTGTTGCTAACATTAAAAAGGGGGCAGTTATGCTCTACAGGCACTGCATCTGATGATGCCTGCCAAAGTTGTTATGACCATTGTTCTTCAAAATGACTGAGGCTACTGCTAGTGTAGACTCCTGTCTATATATACATATATAAATGCGTGCCCTAGCTGGTTTGGCTCAGTGAATAGAGCATCGGCCTGTGGACCAAAGGGTCCCAGGTTCAATTCTGGTCAAGGGCACGCACCTTGGTTGCAGGCTCCTCCCCCTCCCTGGCCCTGTTTTCTCTGTCCCTTTCTCTTCCACTCTCTCTAAAAATCAATGGACAAATATCCTCAGGAGAGGATTAAAAAAAACACAAAACCAAAACCACTGACACTACCTCCCTTTAGCACAGAAACTGCTGGCATCATTGTTTTTAGGGTCCTGTGAAAATTTTAGGGGGCAGATCATCTTTTTTATGGAATTTTCATTAAATATGAGTATTTTTTTCTTAGTGGTGTCATTTTTATCCCCCTATAAACAAACATAGTATCATTAATAGAAATACAATTTAAGCAGTACATCTTTGGATAATCGTTCCAATCTGTTTTGGGTAGATAGAATGACTAAAATGAGGAATCAAGGCTTTATTTTTTTTATATACATTATAATTAAGTTAAAAGAAAAAATGGAAACGAAATTTAGTTACACACATTTTACTTTGATTTATGTAATTTCATTAAAATAACATACCCATCTAACAATATTTACATTATGACAAAGGTCCTATGTACTGGGTATTTTATAAATGGTATATGACCTTTAGAAGACAGACAATGAAGCACCTTTTTTTCCCATGCTGAGACAGATATTTCTGAATCTAAACCTTTGGTATTCTTGTTCTAGTCAAAGACTTAAGATCTAATAAAACAACAGAGACAATATGTTAAAGAACAAAGTCAGTTATTATTTTCTAGTTTTTAAGCTCCCTGAGGCAAAAATAGATTTAAAAATTTTTTTTCTTATAGGTAGTCCAGTGTCTTGTTCACAATAAGCATTAAAAAATGAAAACACACTATTGCTGTGTAAAGCTAGGGGTCTAGAGGCAGCATGCAGCTGCACAGGTAATAACTGTGGGTACAGAGACTGATGCTGCTTTATGGGAAGAATCTGTATTTACCAGCTGGTGTCTGGCTGCCTGTCTGTATATGGACGTTGCTGTGAAGAATTGTCTTGTCTGATGGCTATATGGCCACTGGCTACTGCAATAAAGACTCATTCTTATACACACAAAAAATGAAAACATATTAAATATTCTTTTAACTTCATTCTTAACTCATTGTTTTGCTTCAAAATTACTACAATACTTACGAACTTAGTACTATTTTTTTTAACAACTACTTTTGAACCAAAGTTTACTGAAATTCTTAGAATGCTTCTCATTCAGGTCCTTCTCATCTCTCCACTGTTCTTTTTATATCTAACAGATGGAAGTATTCTACTCCTAATAGCAACTCCCCTTGGCACTGGGGATTTGTTGGTGTTTACGGAAATGGGGGATATATTTTCACTTTATCAAAATCAAAATCTGAAACCAAAAACAAGTTCATTAAACTTCAACAGAACAACTGGATCACAAGAGGGACTCGAGTTATTTTTATTGATTTTACGTTATACAATGCTAATGTAAACCTGTTTTGCATCATCAGGTGAGTGACTCAAAACCTATTTGTTAAGAAATTTAAAAAGCATCCAGAGCCCTGGCCAGGTGGCTCAGTTGTTTGGAGCCATGGTCCCATATACCAGAAGGTTGCAGGTTTGATTCCCAGTCAGCATGTACAGGAAGCAGTCAATCAATGTATCTCTCTAAAAAAATAAAATAAAATAAATGAAAAGCATCCAGAACTCTTATTAGGGTTTCCAGTTTTTGCATGTCTGTACTGAGATTAAAATTATAAGCTTAAAATATAATGTCATTCTGCTAATAATGAAAAAGAAGGTAAAGTACCATCATATTATTTCATTATTTGAGAATATATTCAAGAACTTGGAGAATTACATACAATATGTTGGTTTTATATTACTAAAGGATATGTAATTTTATTGTCATCCTACAATTGCAGAGGTCTAACATTTAGTCTTGATGATTTCTTCTTCTATTCCAGTCATTCAAATCTGTTGATTTCCTTTCAGAATGAGCTTCCTTATTAAGCTATAAATTTTTCTCAAGAATGAGCAATTTTTATTTTAAACAATATATAACAGCACTCTGCATCCTAGAAATGATTAGAGTTTGTGGTGATTTGCAAAAATTGCCCCAAATCTTCACATCTTTGCTATGTAACTTTGCAAGTGCCCTCCCACCCAGAGCAGGGTGCACTGTCCCAGCCTTTGATGCTTAGACTCAATCATGGACTGTACAACCACAACACCCAGGGACCAGCTGCGAACCCAGGAACACCGCATCTCAAGCAGGGTGAATACGCGGACTCGGATGAGCTATAGACTCAATCATGTGATTTGTTTTGATCAATGGAATATTAGCAGATATGATACAAGCAGGAGCTTGAAATGAGTTTGTACACTAAAACTTGCTCTCTTGCCTGGCTGGGTAGGTCAGTTGGTTAGAGCCGTGGTCAGCAAACCGTGGCTCGCAAGCCACATGCGGCTCTTTGGCCCCTTCAGTGTGGCTCTTCCACAAAATACCATGTGTGGGCACGCACATACAGTGTGATTGAAACTTCGTGGCCCATGCGCAGAAGTCGGTATTTTGTGGAAGAGCCGGTATTTTGTGGAAAAGCCACACTGAAGGGGCCAAAGAGCCGCATGTGGCTCGTGAGCCGCGGTTTGCAGAGCCGCAGTTTGCCGACCACTGGGTTAGAGTGTTCTCCTGATATGCCAAGGTTGTGGGATGGGTTCCTAATCAGAGCACATATAAGAATCCACCAATCAATGCATAAATAAGAGGAACAACAAATCTATCTCTCTCTCTCTCTCTCTCCTCCTCCTCCTCCACCCTCCCTCCAAACAAACAAACAAACAAACAAAAAGTAATTTTAAAAAATGTAAAACTTGCTCTTCTGCATCTCTGCCATTGCATGAGAAGGACATGCCTGTGCTAACTTGTTACCCACAAAGAGGAAGATAGACATCCTCTCATGCAGAAAAAGAGGAAGAGGAATAAGAGGAGGAGGGGGAGAAGGAGGAGAGCCGACCAAAGAGAAAAAATTCTTTCCATTAGTCCAATTACCTTAGGTCAGTGGTCGGCAAACTCATTAGTCAACAGAGCCAAATATCAACAGTACAACGATTGAAATTTCTTTTGAGAGCCAAATCTTTTAAACTGAAACTATATAGGTAGGTACATTGTTATTAACTTAATTAGGGTATTCCTAAGGCTTAGGAAGAGCCACACTCAAGGGGCCAAAGAGCCACATGTGGCTCTCGAGCCGCAGTTTGCCGACCATGGCTAGGTCATCTGCCTAACCTGGACCATGCTCATTGGTTTAGGCCTGGGTTCTAGAATCAAACATTGGCAAAGTAAATAGGATTACCATGACTGGATCTGTCTGGGAATTGAATCCGTTTCCTCTAAGTCAGCGGTTCTCAACCTGGGGTCGAACGACTCTTTCACAGGGGTTGCCTAAGACCATCGGAAAACACATATATAATTAATATTGTTTTTGTGATTAATACTATGCTTTAATTATGTTCAATTTGTAACAATGAAAATACATCCTGCATATCAGATATTTACATTATGATTCATAACAGTAGTAAAATTACAGTTATGAAGTAGCAACGAAAATAATTTTATGGTTGGGGGTCACCACAACATGAGGAACTGTATTAAAGGGTTGCAGCATTAGGAAGGTTGAGAACCACTGCTCTAAGTGATCTGGGAATGGGTGAACCACTTTTGCCTCATGAGCCTTACAATTTTATTCCAAATGGAATAGGAATTAGTGTTTACTCTGATTAGGGGATTTTTCCCTTGTGCAACAGTTACAGTGAAACACAATCATGGGCTTTAAAATTTGTAAAAATTAATAAAACAAGTGAATTACCTTAAGCAGCCAATGGAGAGTATACCTATTATTTTAAAGTTCTTCTCTTTAAGGAATCAGAGTTGTTGGGTTTTTTAAAAAATATGTTTTTATTGATTTTTTTAGAGAGAGGAAGGGAGAGGAAGAGAGAAATAGAAACATCAATGAGAGAGTAACATCAATAGGCTGCCTCCTGCGGGACCACTACTGGGCATCGAGCCCACAACCTGGGCATGTGCCCTGACCAGGAATATAACCGGGCGACACTCAACCAACCAAGCCACACCAGCCAATCAAGGAATCAGAGCTTTTTATCAACATTATTCACCCTTCCTACTAGTCCTTATCAGGATAAAGTGAAGCATACAAATCACTTCTATGTCCTAAATAAGAGTAGAAACACTGGGGTAACTGGCGTAAAGGCATATGAAGAACTCTTTGTAATACTAGATTAAATCCAGATTTCCTTTCTCTAGGTTTTATGCTTATTCCTTGTTACCTTTTAAAATGTTATTTTTTTAAAAAACAGATTTTGAAACTTTTATCTCATAGTATATATAATCAGTAATTGTGAGTAAGTATGTTGCTTTCACTAAGACCTCATCTACTTGTTTTCCTTTCTATACACTGTATCTGGGAAAGTAAATGCGGTCCTTTTTCTCCCTTTTTGCTTCTCTATTTACACTTCAGATCAAAATATTGAGTTTCTTTCACTGTGCTCACTTATCCAACATTGCACACCTACTATGTGCAAAGTGAAACCAATAGTTCTCCTTCCCACTTGTTAACTGGTTGTTTTGTTTTTGTTCTTGTTTTGGCAGCATCTTATTCCAGTACCAATAAGATTTGCTAATATCTTTAGGTAAAAATAATAACTTTGTGACATGGTGATAGAGATGCTTGTTCCTTAAAGTACTGCCAATTCTTAATTATCTGAAATTGTGAAGAACATTAGAAGTACAGTGAACAACCTCAAAATCTTATTATATTTAGTGATGGAATTCATTTTAATACTTATATTTACATATAGATCTTCATATCTAACATCAGTGCCTAAAGTAAACATAACACTTGCTTTAGTAGAATATGTGATCTTGACGTTTAGAATATGTGATATGATAAGGTAAAGAAAGAGAGTGTATTTCCCTTCTCTGACATATTCAAGAATTACGTATTTTGGGGGGAGTCCTGACTAATAACAGTAACTAACGATATAGCATTTTCTTGAACATCATCTCATTCTCCTGTGGAGATAAATTAGTATTCTCAGTTATGAACAAACAATCTAAACGTAGCATAGAATGAATGTCTGGCTAAAATCACATCTCATTTTCTTATTTATCTTGGTCTTTGACCACTGGAAATATGCAAAGTACATAAAGAGTACAGTCATTAAAAAAATGTAAATCCAGTAGAAATTTTTCAAATTGAACCCGTGACCTCAAGAAAACATATTTTGTATAAAATAACTGGTTATCATTAAATTACACATCAGCACCAATTAGAAATTTCACATTGAATTACGTACTGAAATATAAATGCCTGAAATGCATACATCTAATTTTACAGGTTGGTGGCAGAATTCCCTGCAACTGGAGGAATACTTACTTCATGGCAGTTTTATTCAGTGAAACTCCTCATCTATGTTAGCTACTATGATTATTTTATTGCTTTCTGTGAAATCACATTTTTAATTTTGTTTACTCTCTTCCTAATACAAGAAGGCAAAAAAATGAAAGAATTTAAGTTTGCCTATTTCAAACGTATTTGGAACTGGCTAGAATTACTACTTTTGGTGGTAAGTATATAGTCACATGTATGAAGGAACTCACATATGAACCCATCAATAAGAGGTGCAAAAAGCAGAAATTTTTATTCATCAGAACTTATTTTAAAAGCTTCAAATATCAAATCATAAAATGAACTGTTATAGTACATACTAATGGTGTGCTTCCAAAAGGGAAAAGCCTTTTTTTTTTTCCTGGTTTGATTCTTGGGAGGACCAGGGTAAACCTAGAGGAATAGGTAATTCCATAGGTATCATGATTTAATGTGCACAATAGGTCTCACCTACCCCCACTCAAAAATCTATTCTTCACAATCACGTTGAAAATCATGGATCTTTTCTCTGTTGCCTAAATCTGCTTTCCTCCTCACACTGAATTTTGAAAGAATAGCTAAAAGACACAAAATACTGAAGGGGGAGGAGGTTTGAACGGCTAGAGGGTAGCTTGTGGGTACAGAGGACACCAGTATGGGGAAATAGTCCCTGAAAGAAACTCTGAAGACTGCCAGTCCTGGTCACTAGAACATAATAAAATAAACAGAGATGTAGGTAGGTAAGAGCGTGGTTTAGGAACAATGAACGAACACTTCTGGTGTATACAATCTGATCTTTCACCCCTATTGGCCAAGTTAATAGCTAAGCCTTGTTTCCCAAAACCAGATTGAAAGTTTATCAGAGTCAGAAAGTGTGCCATCTACCTTTCTAGTACCCCCAATAATGTTTAACATATGGCAGGCATAGTGTTACATGTTTAATGATTTGACTATGTCAGGCAAGGGAAATCAAAAGGAAATTTTCATGACAGTTATAAAGCTCTGACATCTAGTCCTGAAATCTTCTACAGAAGTTGTTAAAGGGTTCCAACGGGGCTTCTTTGTTTGAAACTGTAAAATATGGTGGAAATATAAAACCTTTAGGTATCATGTAGTTACATGGAGCAGAAATCCTTACAGCCTAGCCAGAACTATAGAAGCACTGTGTACATTTGTGTTTTAGGACTCCAGGAAACAAGCAGGCAGATAGAGTAGGATGGTCAGGTTGACCAATATTTTTCTACATTTATGATGATTAAACTGCTATAAATTAAGGCTTACTTCCCTGTACTAAAACCCTATGTTTTATCTCTCCCTCCCTTTTGTTGAACTTTTGGTGAACTTTTTCATGTGCTTCTTCATAGACTGCAGGAGATTTAGAGGTAGAAATAGCCTCTAATTTAACCCTTCTCTTTTTTCCCCATATAGCTGTGTTTTTTGACCATTTTCTTCAACTTATTCTGTAAAATACAAATTTTTCTCTTACTTGAACAGCTGTTTAAACGTACTGAAGAATATTCAGACTTCTATTTGCTCGCACACTGGCGCATTTTTTACAACAATATACTTGCTATTATCATCTTTTTTGCATGGATAAAGGTATTTATATTTTATTATATTCGATACAATAGAATAGATGTAATATTTTTATATTAGATATCAAAATGGGAACTTAAACTACAAAGCATGAGAAAACAAAAGGATATCCTTAACTAAAAGTAATTTTACAAGTAGTTTGGCCATGTAATGATTGCTGACACGTCCTTAAATACCCCTGACTATCATTAAGCACCTCTTTGAAATTAAAGCAGATTTCTTCTGAAGCTAATTTAACTTATTCTAAGTAATTATAATCTTTAATATCCTATTTCAATTAACTATGTTCTTTTTCAGATATTCAAATTCATAAGCTTTAATAACACAATGTCTCAGCTGTCATCAACCTTGTCCTGCTGTATCAAAGACATAGTAGGATTTGCCATCATGTTTTTTATAATACTCTTTGCTTATGCCCAGTTAGGATTTCTTGTTTTTGGATCACAGGTTGACGACTTTTCTACTTTTCAAAATTCCATGTAAGCTCTTCATATAAATGTAATTATATTTTCCAATTTATAACAAAAAAAATCACGGAAAGATCTATGTTAAGTAGTAACATAAGCTTTAATAACTTTAAACTTGGTTTTATATTTTCACTAACAGCTAAGTATGTCATACTCAAAGTATGGTTAGGCATTGAAAGGTCCAAATGGATGGTGATATCAGTTTTTTAAGAGTTACTAGGTAAAATTGGAAAAATAATTTTCATTTCTCACTAGAAGTGAAATTGGCTCCATGTCTCTGAGCAAAGGAAATCGTGTTTTCTTTAGAGGTCTCCATCTTTAGAATCCTTTTATTGATGTTGACCTGATTGCTCTTTGCTGCTCTGGTAAAGCTGTGTTTTAAAAATAGCTTTATACACATAAAGCAATCAGCAGGCAACAAACTTATAAAACTAATTAGAATCTCTAGAAAAGTATTCAGGCTTTCCTTTAACATTGAATAATTTTAATAAATTTACTCCACTTTTCAAGTAGGTAAAGCAAGCTGTCTGTATAAGTAAACTATGATATTCTAAAATATCAATTCTCAAAACATACTCTGTGGACTCTAGACCAAGATTGTCTGCGGGGAAATGGCCTCAGATATAAGTAAGATTGGGAAAATATGCAGTGGATAGTAATGGCTGTGAGAAAAACCCCAATAACTTAACTTTAGTTAAGAACATATTTGTCCATGACCCTTTTTGTTGATTTTGGGGACATCTGGTCTAAAGAAATGTCTTAGGTTGCCCTCTTTTCACCATCCACATATAAATAATTGAAGTACCAATGTTATAAAATGTAATAACATTTTTCTGAAATAAACCTGTACTAAATCAGTAGTGGGAAGAGTAGGGTAGAAACCAAGAGGATTTAACTCTACTTTTCCAATTCTGCCATTTGCTATTTAACATTTCTAGACCCTAATTTCTTTATCTGTAAATGAAGGGATTGATCTAAATCACTTCCAAAGGTCCTTCTCAACTTCAAACAATCTATAATTTAAGAAGTCTAATTAGCCCGATCAGTGTGGCTCAGTGGTTGAGCGTCAACCTATGAACCAGGAGATCAAGGTTTTATTCCCTGTGAGGGCACATGCCTGGGTTTTGGGCTTGATCACCAGTAGGGGGGCATGCAGGAGACAGCTGACTGATGATTCTCTCTCATCATTGATGTTTCTATCTCTCTCTCCCTCTCCCTTCATTTCTCTGAAATCAATAAAATATTACAAAAAAAATCTTTTTTTAAATGTCTAATTAGCTTATCCTGAGTAAAGAATATTTGCAGTTTCAACAACTTTTTGGTCATTTCCTAGGATATCAATTCAAATGTTACTTAAAATGTAGTTGTATTAGATATTGAATATAAATGTAGTAATTTACAGAACCTCAGAAATTTGTCTTACCTTGGTTGGTGGGAAAATTGGAGGTATAAGCCACAGAAAAAAGTAGAGAACTCTGGAATGGATTGAGGGTGTTTTTGTGCTTGGTAATGATGTCCTAGATTATTCAGATCAACCACCTCTTCAGGACAATTGAAAAAGCTGGAAAACATTGAAATTCTTTAGAACTAACAAAAAAGCGAGTAATAACTGGGCCACAATCTGAAGGCAAGAATCCAGAGAAGCCCAGCACCCAATGCTACTTTTGCCCTGAAGGGCTTTTTTTAAGTCAGTAAGAATTTTTTTTTATTGTGGTAAAATACACATAAATTTATCATCTTAACCATGTCTTGTAAGGTACAGTTCAGTGATATTAAGCATACTTATATTGTGCAACCATCACCACCACTCATCTCCGGAACCCTTTTTAATTTTGCAAAACTGAAACTCTATACCCAGTAAAAAAGAACTCTTCATCTCCCTGCTTATCCCAGACCCTGGCAACCACTGTTCTACTTTTTGTCCCTGTGATTTTGATTACTCTAGGCACCTAGAGAATCATACAGTATTTGTCCTTTTGTGACTGATTTATTCCACTTTAGCATAACAGTGTTGTAGAGTATGTCAGAATTTCCTTCCTTTTTTAGGCTGAATAATAGTCCATATATGTTTATACCATATTTTGCTCATCCATTTATCTGTCAGTGATTTGCCTCCATATTTTAATTATTGAGCACACGGCTGTACAAATATCTCCCTGAGGCTCTTTTACTAGTAATTCTTTTGGGTATATACCCATAGATAAAAGTGCTAGGTCATATAGTAATTCTATTTTGAATTTTTTGTTTGTTAATCCTCACCCAAGAATAGTTTTCCATTGATTTTTTAGGGAGAGTGGAAGAGAGGGAAAGACAGAGAGAAACATCGATGTGAGAGAAACACATTGATTGGTTGCCTCCTGCACGAGCCCCAACCAAGGCCTAGGCTGGGGAGGAGCCTGAAACCAAGGTACATGACCTTGATCAGAATCGAACCCGGGACCCTTTGGTCCACAGGCCAACGCTCTATCCACTGAGTAAAACCGGCTAGGGTATATTTTGAATTTTTTTAGGAACTGCCAAACTTTTCCACAGTGGCTATATTATTTGGCATCCCCACTAGCAGTGCACAAGGGTTTCAACTTCTCTACACCCTTGTCAACTTTTTATTTTCCAGTCTTTTTTTTTTAATAGCTATCCTAATGGGTATGAGATATTTCATTGTGGTTTTGATTTGCATTTCCCTAATTCGTGATAGTGAGCATCTTTTCATGTGCTTATGCATATGTTGGCTCACTTGATGGCCCCAAGGTCCCTTAGCTCTGCTTGCTTTTCTTCAATCTTTTTTTTTCCTGTTCCTCAGACTCGATAATAATCTTCAAATTCACTGATTTTTTTCCTTCTGCTTGTTCAAATCTGCTTTTGAATTCCTCTGGTGAAAAAAAATTTTTTTTGGTGAATTTTCATTTCAGTTATTGATCTTTAGCTCTATAATTTTTTAGTTTTTCTTTTTATTTATATTTCCATTTTATTCATATGTCCTTTTCTTTACTTTCTCCATGTCTTCTTAGTACTTTGAACATCTTTAAGATGATTGTTTTAAAGTCTTTGTCTAGCAGGCCTGCCATCTGATCTTTGTCAAAATTATTTCTATTGGTTTATTTCTTTCCTTTTAGTGGGCCTTATTGTATCTTTGTATGTCTTGTCGTTTTGTTGTTGTTGAAAACTGGACATTTGAATGTAATAATGTGGTAACTCTGTAAGTTTGATTCTTTCCCTTCCCCAGGGTTTGCTGGGTTTGTTGTTATTGCAGACTGTCTCCATACTAAGTATCAGCCTAAGATGTAAACTTAATGTTTTCTTAGGTCTTTTCTGAGCCTGTGTTTTCCTTAGGGCATGCATGGTGAATTTCTAATTTCCTCCATATTTGTAGTTGGTTTTGAATACCATCCTAGGCTATAGTATCTCCCAAAAGGGGAAAAAGAGAAAAATGAAGGGGGAGGAAGGGCACTAGCCCTTTAAATCCCAAGGACATTGCTTCAGCTGCGGGGAGAGGGAGCTTAGAACAAAGATGTGGAGAACACCTGCCTCTGTGTCTGCACCTCTGTGATCAGAGCAGCAATCAGAACACAAACCCCTGATGTCTGGAGAACAGGGTCCTTATTGCCCATCCTGGCTCCCACGAGCTGCGTGTAAACTATTCCAGGAATACATGCACAGCTGTATGCCATGGGATGGAGGTGGGAGATGGGTAGCTACCGCCAAACTAAAAACTGGAATTGATCAAAATTGTCTGAGCCTTTCCTTGGAAGTTGTGAGCCTTCAACAGACTCCAGCATTCCAAAATAATTATATCAGACCAGACAGCTGCCAATGTGATTGTTGTCTCGGTGAGGAGACAGATTCTGAGTTTTTCTTACCACCTTCCCAAAATCTCCCCCCTGAAGGCATTTTTGCTGATCTAGAAAAAAAAAAGTTGAGAAACTGTGTTTCTGACCACCTCTTCGGAAGGAGACAAAAGACAATGCCCAGGACCTGCATGTGTGTTTGTGTTAGGGGGTGGAGGGCAAAGGTGGATTTTCAGATAACCTCTTTACAAATCAAGCAGGAAGCCTAAAGTGCTCCAGCCTCAAGTTAAAAGTAAAACCCTTATAGTGACTTGAAGCCTGAGTTTAATCACCTAAGTGTCCAAGGAATCTCATATCTCAAACTTGAATTAAGATGTCCTGGGCTAGCCCTAGGTGGTTTGGCTCAGTGGATAGAGTGTCCATCTCCGGACTGAAGGGTCTCGGGTTCGATTCTGGTCAAGGACATATGCCCAGGTAGTAGACTTGATCCCCAGCAGGAGGCAGCCAATCGATGATTCTCTTTCATCACTGATGTTTCTATGTCTCTCTCCCTTCTCTCTGAAATCAATAAAAAAAAATGTGTGTGTGTGTTTTTAAAAAAGATCAAGTTGGAAATATTAAAACAGAACCTTTTATTCTCCTATCCCAAAAAGGAAAAATCATTTGATTTGTTTCGAAATTTTGGACTCTTTGCAATTTAGCATTTCTCTTTTTACTTTGTGTAGAAGAGCATTACAAACCAGTATTAAAAGCTGGATAAATACTTTGAGCATGACTTAATAAGGTTTTGGGTATTAGGAATGAAATTCCAGATAACTGAGTCCTAGGACTCCAAATAGTCGATTTCTTTGAACGCATTTTCTTTCTTCTTGGTAGCTAGCCCTAGGACACTTTATGTGATTGGCTAAAGCAACAAGTTACAAGAAGCGCTCTCCCTTTTGACTGACTGGCCAGTCATGCGAAGTATCTACATACTTTCAAAAATTCCTTCCCAGATTCCCCCTTAATATACAGAACTCACATAATTTATAACATACCCCCGATGTGTCTGGCAATGCCACTGCAAATTAATGAGAATAATAAGACCTCAGATTAAGAGATTCTAATTCTACCTCTACAGCTATGCTCATTCCAAGCCTTAATTTCTTAATTTTCCAACTTTAAAATTATGAAAATGAAGAATTAAAAAATATTTTCAATGCTATTTCACATCAAAACCAAGTTTTTATTGTTATTGGAGAGAATAAAATAAACCTCAGTACCATGTTTGAGACTTAGCAAGTGACTAATTATTGGCTCTTTATTTTCAAAGAAGAGCAAAAATTAAACATATCATTGATATCAGAAGACATTTAGGGCTCTTGGTTCTAGGTACAAGTTGAAAATCACTTGAACAAAGTGAAAGTATTCTAAGCTTTAGAAAGGCACAGGAATAGCTAAGGAGGCCATTGTGAAGATCAGTTGGTAAAAAGGTAGCTCAAGGTTCAAATCTTGCAGGTAAACGTTGGGTTGACATTAGTTAAATAAATTGAAGCCCAACATTTCCTGGACTACCTGTTCATCTATTGAGGTACCTCAAGTTTTGCCTTCAGGGGAATTTTCTACACCCAGTTTTATAGAACCCTGTGCTGTAACATAACTAAAGCCATACAGCATATGCCATACACAGCTAAATACTTTCCTAGACACATTGGTTACCCCCATCAGTTGTCATGCGTGTATAATGGGATATAATATTTTCTAATCTTTTTCTTTCTTCTCATCAAAGATTTGCACAGTTTCGAATTATTCTCGGGGATTTTAATTTTGCTGCTATTCAGCAAGAATATCGCATCTTGGGACCCATTTACTTCATCACCTTCATCTTTTTCATAGTCTTTGTCCTATTGGTAAGAATGACCATATATGTTTCCTTTTTTGCGTACATATTTTAGAGTGAAAAATGAACAACTTAGGAGAAATTGTAGTACCACTGGTTAGCTGTCAGAACACTTCACATTGACTAATGCATATATAAGTAACCACTCACATGCACTATTTTAAATTCCGTTTATTTTCCATAAACATGTCTGCCCAGGTCCACAAACTACACAATTTCTCTATTACTGACCATATGAGTTACTCTTAAAATTTAAATATAATTTTACAAACCCCAGCACTTGCCAAAATCACTAACATTTAAACTAAATTTTTATTGAAATAATTTATTATTTGAATATTTCTCTCCAGAACATGTTCTTGGCAATAATTAATTATACCTATTCGGAAGTGCAAGATGATTATTCATTAGGCAGAAGACCATATTTTAAACTTGGTGAAATGATTAAGAAGGTATGTCAAATTCTTTTCCTAATTAGAATTCTAAGACAAATCTTGTTCAGTTTATACGCTTGTAGTTTGAATAACACTTAAATCCAAAAGTGGGTTCTGGTTCTGGTGTGTGTTTTTGAGGGGAGTGTGTGCGTTTTTTTGGTTTGGCCCAGTGATAATCATTTTTGTATTATTTCACTACCAGGGCAGTGAAATAAACTCTCTGGCTTTTTTAAAAAGCGTGACCAAAATTATTTCAGAGTTTAATGTATCAAATAGTAATTGGGCTATTTACTAAATGCAAAGCACTGAATAAACGTCTCTCTCCAAAAGTTTTCCATTTAGATGCTGGCTAATTTCTATAAACAATCTAAACTCAGAACTCCATGTGCCTTACCTTCCTCACTTTCCTATTTCCATTAATGACAACACTCTTCTCAGGTACCCTAGGCTCTAACACCTTGGACTTATTTCCTTGTCGCTTATACGATCTGCTGCCAAGGCTTGTCTAGTTTTTGCTCATGTGTGTGGAACTCAAGGACACTCTTAATTCTGTCACCACTTTATCAGGGCCCTCAGTACTTTTCACCCAGGCTTTTGTATAGTAACATCTTACCTGTTCTAGCCTCTTTCCTGTGCCAGGCCAGCTCTGAGCATATCATTTCTCTGCTCAAAATTCTTCCGTTTCCCCAGGCCTATCAAAAAAAGTTCAAATTCTTATTATTCTTGTTGTTAACTCTCACCCAAGAATATTTTCCCATTGATTTTTAGAGAGAGTGAAAGGAATGGAGACACCGAGAAACATCGATGTGAGAGAGACATCGACTGGTTGCCTCCCACATGCGCCCTGACCTGGCAGGGATCGAGCCTGCAACCCAGGTATCTGCTCCTGACCAGAATCAAATCTGTGACGCTTCAGTCCACAGGCCGAAGTTCTAGCCGCTGAACCAAATGGGCCAGGGCTAAGAAAATAATATTCAAATGTTGATTTGAATATTAAATATTCAAATAAATTATTTCAAATTCTTTACCCAAACATTCAGGGCCCTTCTAAAGTCTCACAGCCCCAAACTATCTTTCTTTACAGTCATCTAACTATAGAATTTCTACCTCCTATGCCTCCATTTCCAGTATGGTAGGTCCCAGCCAATGTTGTAAGCACAGTGCTATTTACTATGCTTCCTCTCACTCTCTCCTCTGCTCATGTCATTCTCTGAACCCAAGTATATTCCCTGTGCTCTCTCACTGACATTCTATTTCCTCCAACAAAGGAATCTTCTCTGGCCTCTATTTCTTTTTAAAATATGTTTTTATTGATTTTTAGAGAGGGAGAGGGAGAGAAACATCGATGAGAAGCATCATTGATTGGCTGCCTCCTGCATGCCCCCCAATGGGGACCAAGCCCGCAACCTGGACACGTACTCTGACCGGGAAATGAATCATGACCTCTTGGTTCCTGGGTCAATGCTCAACCACTAAGCCACACAGGCCGGGCCTTCTCTGTCCTTTTGACACTACCTCACTTTGGATGGTAGCAACGTCATGTGTGTACAAACCATCTTGCCTACCTCTGCATAGCCACAGCTTTAACTAAAACACTTAACATGAAAAAGGGCCTAATAGGTGTAGGGTGGGTTAGTGGGATTTAAGCACCAATGAACTTCCTTGTGGTTTCATCATTTATCTTGATTATGTTGGTTCTATGCATTCAAGTGTTAACTTTTTTATTTTAATTTTTATATTTTATTGATTTGAGGAAGAGAAATATTGACCAGCTGCCTCCTACTGGGGATCAAGCCTGAAACCCAGGCAAGTGCCCTAACTGGGAACCAAACAGGCAATCTTTCTGTGCACAGGACGATGCCCAACTAACTGAGCCATACGGGCCACAGTGTGTTAACATCTTTAATGCAATAACTGTTAACAGTACTTTATTTTTATTGTTGACACTATTGCAGATGTTCTCCCTTCCTCCCCTCTTTGCCCACCTATCTCCCAGCCCCACTGTTGTCTGTGACCATGGGCTATGCATATATGTTGTTTGTTAAAGTACTTTTTAAAGGGTGGTTTGTTTTTTTTCAAGTGCAGGTCTGATGCCCACAGAACTTTTTCCTTTGCACCAGCAGGCAGAAACCATAGTGCTGACAAACTGAAAAGAAGGATAATCATAGCATTTGCCTCTACTTTTCTTTAGTGTAGCAATCCCTAGAGACAGGCATTCCATATTTCCTTTACCTGGACCAAAAATTAATACAGGATATATTTTTTATTTTTTATTATGTCCAGAGTTACAACAATGTGCTCAAAAAACTCAAACTAAAGAAACCTCAAGAGGCTGAAGACAATAAAAGGTAAGATGACTTTAAAATTTTAATTTACCATTTTAAATCTCTATATTGTATGAGAAACTTATGAGAGTAAGATTTTGATAGCAAAACCACCATCATCCAAAGTGCTGGCTCTATATGTTAATAAATCCAGTAGTGCTTCTGAGAGTGTCTTGAAACTCTAAGCTAATTTAAAAGAAATATAAGGTATGCCATACCACTAATAAAACTTAACAGAAGCTGGACAAGAGGGTGAAATTCCTCTATAAAGGTAGGAGACAATTTTAGTCTACATTTAATGCATTTATTTAGCTATTGAAATAAAAACATTTACACAAAACATTAAGAATACACTTACATTTATTGAGTCACTTTGTCATTAAAATGCTTTCCAAACCCACACTTCTGACAATGGGACATAAATACTTTTTTATAGTTAGAAATGTAATTCTCTGAGTAACTTCTTAATGACCACATTTTCCAAAAAGTCAGATATCAAAAAGAACAGAAATGCAATTCAGAACCTTTATATAAATCTGCTTGTATTTTATGCTGGCATTTCCCTATTTACTGACATGTGCCTCTAATTTTTCGTTCATATTTTCAGTAGGAAAAACAAAGATTTGGCTGAACAAGCCAGAAGAAAAGGCTTTGACGAAAATGTAAGATGTTAATTTTCTCATAAAGAAGTTATAACTTTATTAGAAGTATGCTTACAAAAATGTTCCAAGTTAGAACTGAAATGATTTCTTTTTTCAGAGCATTAGTTGCCACCTCCAAATATTTCTCCCAGAATCTATACCCTTGTTTAGGACAAATCATTTGGATTCCAGATGCTCCCTCTTTCTTATTGGTGCCCTCAGTCAGATACCCTGGTCCTACAGCTGTACTCTCACTGTGGGATAATCACACAGGGTTTAGTAAGTATACTCAATTGAGATGATTATATAAATTTTCTCTAGTAATCATTAATATATGATAAATCACTTTAATGATTTTTTATATTTCAGAACTATAACATATTCAATAAATGACTCAGTATATATACATGTATGTTTAAGAAATAATTATAAAGCACACAATATATGCAAGGAAAGAAAATGTAAGCCAAGGATTTTTATATCTAGCAAAACTGTAATTCAAGGCTCAAAGAGTTTTGAATGTGGAGGAACTCAGGTAATACTGTTGTATTCCTGAGGATTCTATAGGGATCAGCTTCTGCCAACCAAGAGATGATTGGAGAAATTTTGGAAAAAAGAAGGAGGGACAGAGAAGGAATAAGCAGAAAAAGCTGACTGATTGGTTCATATAGTAGTATAATAGTTGAAATTATCTTTTAGAGTTAACCAAGAAGAAAAGAAAAAACATTAGCATATTTAAGAGTACAATAGTAAATAAGATTGTTTTAATTATTTTAAAACTCCTTTATCACATTTTAACATCTCTGAAATCAAGATGTGCCTTATGGTTGATAGTGTATCATACGTTAATTGGCAGCATTTTTCATAAGTGGTACATAAAAAAAAGGTGTGTCTTACAGTAGACTCCACTTCTCATATACAAGGAAATATAGAAACATAATTTAAAATGTAATTGGGTAGTAGAGAGGAAGGAGATGAGGAGGAAGAAACTATAAGCTAATTTTCTTGTTAAACTTGTTTGATTCCTTGTGGAGGGAACCAAAGCAAGAAAGGGAGGTCTCAGGATGTATAAAAAGTTACATGACTAAAAACAAACCACTGAGCCCGGCCGGCGTGGCTCAGTGGTTGAGTGTCAATCTTTGAACCAGGAGGTTACGGTTTGATTCCTGGTCAGGGCACATGCCCAGGTTGTGGGCTCAATCCCCAGTGTGGGATCCCCAGTATGGGGCATGCAGGAGGCAGCTGATCAATGATCTCTCTCTCCCTCTCCCTTCCTCTCTGAAATCAACAAAAATATTTTAAAAACATGCACTGGAACAAAAGGGCAAAAGTACAAAACCAAAAAAGAGAACAGAAAATATAACACATGGTAAAAGACTTAAAATATAACCGTAAGACAATATGATATAATTGTGACCAAATATAGCAGACATATCAGTAATGGCAAAAAGTATAATCTACTTAAAAAGAAAAATATTTTCAGACTGAATCACAAAGCAATACCCAATTCTACACTATGTCCTAAAATACACACCTAAAATAAATTCAGAAAAGTTAAACATAAAAGCATGGGCTAAGGTATAATAGGAAAGGAAAAGATATCAGGGGACACAATCTAACTAAAGATAGAATTCAAGACAAAAAGCTCTGAATGAGATGAAGGGTACTTTATAAGGCTAAGATCAACTCTAATAGTTATGATTATCAATGCACCAAATAACATGTCATCAACTTCCATAAAAACTACTGGACTTATAAAAGGAGTAATAGGAACACACAAAAAATAGACAACACATCAAGAAAAATAAAAGGATTAAAAAAGACAGTATAATAAACAGGCAATCTTACAGTTATGTGTTAAATTCTGTACTCTCAGAAGATACATACTTTTCGAAAACCCATTCATTAAAACTGATCATATATTGGGCCACAAAGAAAATCTCAATAAATTCCAAAAAGTAGTTAATACAGAAAAAAATTCTTGCCCTCGCCTATGTGGCTCAGTTTGTTGAAATCTATAGTTTTCAAAATAGTATGTATTGGCATAAGGACAAATAGACTAATGATCAGAATTGAGAGCCCAGAAATCAACCAATCAATGTTTCACTCTCACATAGATGTTTCTCTCTCTCTCTTCCTCTCTCTCTAAAATCAATAAAAACATATTTTAAAAAGAAAAATATCTGAAAATGACATAAAAATATATTAATGAAATTGTAAAATAAAAAATTATTTAACCAAGAAAATTTTTAATTATTAAACAATTTTTAATCAAAGAGAAAATACAAAATGAAATTGCAGAAAACAAAATGATAAAAACACTATTTAACAGAATCTATAAGATAAAGGCAAATACCCTACCCAGAAGGAAAATTAGTAGCCTTAAATTTATCAATAAAAATCAAAGACAGAAAACATATTAATTTTAGCATGTGACTCAAAAAGTTAGAAAATAGACAACAAATAAGAAATAAAGATAAAAGCAGAACTGAGTTACAAACAACAATTAGTATACTAATAAATAAATAAAAAGGCTGGTTCTTTGAAAAGATCAGTGAAAAGAAATCACTAGACAACAAACGGAATAAGAGGGAGAAAGCATAAACATGCAAAGTAAAAAACTACAATGGGGGAAATAATCAAGAAACAAAAGAAAATTTTAAATATCATCCAAAATAAATTGAAGACAACACAAACAAATGGAAAGACATTCTGTGCTCATGGATTGGAAAAATTAATATTGTTAAAATGTCCATACCATATGAACCCATATACAGATTCAATGCAATCCCTATCAAAATTCCAATGGCACTTATCATAGAAATAGAACAAATTCTTAAATTTGTATGAAAGTATAAAAGACTGAATAGCCAAAACAATCTTGAGGAAGAACAAAGCTGGAGGAATCATGCTCCCTGATTTCAAACTATATTACAAAGCTATAGTTTTCAAAACAGAAAATATTTGCAAATCATATATCTGGTAAGGGGTTAATCTCCAAAATATATACAGAACTCATATAATTCAATAACAACAAAGTAGGCAGAAGACCTGCATAAACATTTTTCCATATAAAATATACTGAGAGTCGTCAACAGGTAATAATAAAGATGCTCACATAATCATCAGAAGATTACAAATCAAAACCACAGTGAGATTGCACCTCACACCTGTGAGAATGGCTATCATCAAAAAGACAAGAAATAACAAGTGTTGGCAAGGATTTGGAGAAAAGGGAACCCTTGTGTACCCCAGAGGGGCAATGTAAACTGCTGCAGTCACTATGGAAAACAATATGGAGCTTCCTCAAAAAATTAAAAATAGAACTACCATATGATTCAGCAATTCTACTTCTGGGAATTTATCTGAAGGAAAAAGAAGCACAAACTCAAAAAGATATCTGCACCCATGAATCCATTGCAGCATTATTTACAGTAGCCAATATATGGAAGTGTACATCAATGGAAAAATGGGTAAAAAAATGTGGTCTATATACACAATGGAATATTATTCAGCCATAAAAAAGAAGATCCTGCCATTTGTGACAACATGAATAGATAGCATTATGTTAAGTGAAATAAGTCAGATAAAGAGAAGTACTGCATTGTTTCACTTACATGTGGAATAATTTTTTAAAAATTCACAGATACAGCCCTAACCAGTTTGGCTCAGTGGATAGAGCGTCAGCCTGCGGACTCAAGGGTCCCAGGTTCAATCCCGGTCAAGGGCATGTACCTTGGTTGCGGGCACATCCCCAGTAGGGAGTGTGCAAGAGGCAGCTGATCGATGTTTCTCTCCCATCGATGTTTCTAACTCTCTATCCCTCTTCCTTCCTCTCTGTAAAAAATCAATAAAATATATTAAAATTAAAATAAAATAAAATAAAAATAAAAATCATCATTCTCCCCTTTAAAAAAAAAATTCACAGATACAGAGAACAGATTGGTGTTTGCCAGAGGTGGGTGTGGGGGATCAGCTAAATAGGTGAAGGTAGTCCAAAGGTACAAACTTCTAGTTTTAAAATAAGACATGGGGATATAATGTTCAGCAGGGTGACTATAGTTAATAATACTGTGTTGTATATTTGAAAGCTGCTAAGAGATCTTAAAAGTCCTTATCACAATAAAAAAATCTGTAACCGTATGTTGAGGGATGTTAACTAAACTTACTGTGATCATTTCACAATATGTACAGGGTGAAGCAAAATAGGTTTACCGTTGTGAGTACACAAAACAGTTTATTCTTTTTTCTTTTCTTTTTTTAATCCTCACCAAAGGACATGCTTTTATTAATTTTAGAGAGAGAGGAAAGGAGAGGGAAAGAGAAACATTGATGTGAGAGTGAAACATTGATCGGTTGCCTCCCACATATGCCCTGACCGGGGACGGAACCTGAAGCTTAGGTGTGTGCCCTGACCAGTAATCGACCCCACACTGGCCAGGGCTACAGAGTTTACTCTTGCATTATTTTTTTTTCATACAAACAACTGTAAACCTATTTTTGCCCCACCCTGATATATCAAATCATTATGTTGTACACCTGAAAAAAGTCACTAAGAGACTTTTGGTATAATTTTATGCAAATAACATTTGAAAAACTGAATGCAATGGATTTTTCTATAAATATCAAATTGATCAAAACTGAGCACAGAAGAGATTTTTTAAAGCCTAAACAAATCTGTACTGTAGAAGAAATCAAGTCATCAAAGAGCTACCTTCAAAAGAAATCAGACCCAGTTGGTTTCACAAGGGAATTTTACCAGATTTTTAAAAATTGATTTTTAGAGAGCAAAGGGAGAGAGAGAAACATCGATGTAAGAACGGAACATCATTGCCCAGCCGATGAGGCTCAGTAGTTGAGCATCGACCCATGAGCCAGGTCATAGGTAGATTCTCGGTCAGGGTACATGCCTGGGTTGCAGGCTCAATCCCCAGTAGAAGTCGTGTATTAGGCAACTAATCGATGATTCTCTCTCAACATTGATGGCTCTATCTCTCTCTCCCTCTGCTTTCCTCTCTGAAATCAATAAAAATGTATATTTTTAAAAAGAGCAGAACATCAATTGGCTGCCTCCCCCCGACCCTCACTGGGAATCAAGCCTGAAACCTGGGTATGTACTCTGACCAGGAATTGAACTGGCAAATTTTTGGTGCATGGGACAACGCTGAACCAACCAGGGTGTATTTTACCAGATTTTATACAGAAAAAGTAATTTCAAGCTATTTAAGTTGTTCCAGAGCAAATGGAAAAGTTCCAAATTATTTTTACAAAGTGATTATATAGTGATTCTAAAATCTGGCAAAGATCATACCAAAAATAAATAAGTAAGAAAGTATCACATAAATCTAGAAGCAAAAGTCCTAAATAACATATTAGCAAACAATCTAACAGAACAAAATTATATATCACTAGAGGCCTGGTGCACACATTCGTGCACCACTGGGGTCCCTTGGCCTGGCCTGCACCCTCTTGCAATCCAGGACCCCTCAGGGGATGTCAGAATCCGTGCACCAGGCCTCTAGTATGCATATAAGATCTTTGGTTAATCTCTTCTCACCCTCCCCCTTCCCCATTCCCTCTGAGATTCATCAGTCTGTTCCATGTTTCCATGCCTGTGCGTTGAGCATCTGCCCCCTGGTGGTCAGTGCGTGTCATAGCTACCGGTCCAACGGTCGAAAGGTCGCTTAGGCTTTTATATATACAGATGATTTTAACAGAATTTATTCTAAGATGGAAAGATGGTTCAAAATTGGGTAATAATTCATTCTATTAATAGACTCTAAAAGAAAAATTACATGATCATTTTCCATAGATGTTAGATATTTGATAAGATTCAACATTCAATCTTGAGGGGGAAATAAAGCAATATAGGAAGCGATGGATACTTCCTTGATATAATAAAAACATATTAATCACCCCTAATCTAGCACTTGCTTAATTGGGAGAAACACTGGACACATCAGAAACAAGACAAAGAGGTATTGGAGGGATCAGCCAAAACAATTAAGAGAAATAAACTAGAAGTATAAAAATTTCCTCTGTGATTCCTTTAAGTTTTCTAGGTATACAAATGAACTGAAAATTTATAACAAATTCCATAAACTAGTAGGAAAAATGATTCACATACATACAACCATGTTATATATATAAATATCAACTAGTTTGTTAAAAAAAATTTAATAGAAGACTCTATTTATAAAAACAACAATGTAGAAAATGCCTAAGAATTACTAAAAAGTGTTTAAAAACAAAATAAGGAAAAATTTTAAACATTCCTTAAAGACACAAAAATTCACTCAACAAAATGAAAATATATACTTACTAATGTATCAGTCAGGACCTAGTCAGGAAGATGGAAATCACATTATATGTTTCAAATAGAGAAAATTTACCACAGGGAATTTGGTTAAGGAAGTACTGGAAGACAGAAAAAGTAAAAACACTGAGGCAAAACATAAATAATCACTGTAGGATGATGCTACCACTCCAGAGTGAAGGTACAAAGGCGGGGTTATCAGAACCTACTATCATAGAGAAGGGCCCTGCATAGGTGCTCAGACCTCTAAGGGCGCCCCCAGCCCACCCTGAGGGAGTGTGATGAGTCTTGTTCTGGGTACGCCAAAAAATGCTAGTAGCAAGTCTGGGATGAGTTTCAAAGCCTGAGACACAGCATCACAGAGAATAGTATGAGGATTAAATTTTTAGTTGGGAGACATGAGCTGAGTAGTTGGCCCAGTTTATCCTATTGGCTGTTTAGTACACACATTTGAATTTCCATAAAACAACAGTAACTACTTCAAGCTTCCATCTAATAAGATGAAACTATCCTTTATACAAATAAAGGTACTCTTATCCTCTCCCCAAAAAGGGAGAAGCAAAGTCCCAATAGTAATTATATCCATCCTCTGAGTGACTTTAAGGCCTTTTTTATTCAAATCAAAATCCCTTAAAAATATGTTTAAACTACAAAGCTTATTTTGGGACATGTAAGTATTGAAAGCACCTGTCCACTCAAGAATTCCTAGGCTCCAAATATAGCCCTCTCTGCACTCTTTTTGTAGTTGCAACCAATTTCCTCTTGATAATTAGGATCAATCACCAAAGCCAGTTGAATCTTTGCCTAAAGCAAGAGGTTCTCAACCTGTGGGTCGCGACCCTTTGGGGGTCGAACAACCCTTTCACAGGGGTCGCCTAAGACCATCGGAAAACACATATATAATTACATACTGTTTTGTGATTAATCACTATGCTTTAATTATGTTCAATTTTTAACAATTAAAATACATCCTGCATATCAGATATTTACATGACGATTCATAACAGTAGCAAAATTACAGTTATGAAGTAGCAACGAAAATAATTTTATGGTTGGGGGTCACCACAACATGAGGAACTGTATTAAAGGGTCGCGGCATTAGGAAGGTTGAGAACCACTGGTAAAGGATCCCAAATGGACAGGTGGAAGGTTCAAATTCTTAAGTCAATTGTCCCTTGATGGAAGCATGCTGTTTCTGAGTTTGTTCCTTTGCACCTCCCCTGCCACAGGGTACTCATCAGTTAGGATCCAATCAGAAAAACAAAAACACACTAGGTAGTTCAAAAGGAGGTTTACTACAGAGAATTCATTTCTGAGCTTTTAGGATGACTATAAGAACTAATGTGGAACACCAAATTAATCCAGAAACAACTATAAAAGGCAGCTACCACTTACAGGGAAGAGGTGGGATGACCAAAACCTAGAAACTTGGAGGAAATGTCCCCATTGAGTTGCTGCTCTGCCTTTGATTTTCCTATGACTGTCAAGGAAGGCTTCATGGAAAAGAGTGATGGTTGAGATGGGTGTTTTGAAAGATGAGTCAAGTTTAGCAGGCATAATCTATTCAACCCATATTACTAATGTTTCCACATTATTATAGGCCTGGTCATTTAGATATAGTTATGGGGCCTACCACTTTTTAAACAACACATCAAAAGCATTTAGTAAATATGTCAAAATGTGGGTGCTGTAATGTGGCCAAAATAAAACTAGAAAGATTAAAAGCAATCCTTTCCTACTTCAAATACTATCTGGTAAGTTTCTCTAACCAGAACAGCACACATTTATCAGGTGAACAGTACATAAATGCAGGTGTCATCATCCTGAGGAAGGTAATCAAGAACCCTTATGCCCTAACTGGTTTGGCTCAGTGGATAGAGCGTCGGCCTGCGGACTGAAGGGTCCCAGGTTCCATTCTGGTCAAGGGCATGTACCTTGGTTGCGGGCACATCCCCAGTGGGAGGTGTGCAGGAGGCAGCTGATCGATGTTTCTAGCTCTCTATCCCTCTCCTTCCTCTCTATAAAAAAATCAATAAAATATATTAAAAAAAAAAAAAAGAACCCTTGTAACACGGATCCACTTTGCTACTTAGTGGTATTGCTGGAGCAGGGCAATATCATACTCATTTACTGACAAGTATTTGAGTCACATCTAAATGCACTTTCCTCTTTCCCTCTTTTTCTAGAGCTGTCCTTATTTTCCACAATGTACAAGGCAATTTTTCCAAAGTTTGGGAAAAGGTATTTGCACACTAAAGGAAAGTGGGGAGTAGTGAGGACTAAGCACAGGAAGGACTTCTTAGGATCAGAGAAGGATGTAGCAAAGAATTTGCTGGTACAAGGAACTAATTTGGGGGTATGTAGACAGATTGGAGTGTACAAATTGATGCAGTAATTATGAAGAGGGGATTGGGATGGTTAGGTAAAACTGCAGGAGTGTGGCTGAGAAGCAGCTGTGCAGGCAAAGAATACACACAGATATACTTTGAAGTATAGTTGCAAGAATAGAGGTACAAAAATATCTCAGGTTTGGCCAAGTGAAGAATGAAGAAAATCATGAAAAGAGTGAGCTGGAGATGCAGTGAGGAGGAGGCAATGAAATGAAAATAAGCTGATAATTTTAATTTTAAAATTCCCCAACTCAACCAACAGTTCTAACACCAGGTCCTCTGAAGTAACTGCTAATGCATAGTACTAAAAACTGCCAAGGCAAAAAGGCAGTGGGGCTCAAACCTCAACCCTGTGATCCTTGTAAAACAGACTTGAAATAGAGAAAAACTTAAATGATTGCAGACTAGGCTTTTCCTCTAACTTGACAGGAGATTCAAAGTGCAGAGCAGATGAAAAAATGGAAAGAGAGGCTTGAGGAAAAGTATTATTCTACAGAAATTCAAGATGACTACCAGCCTGTCACTCAACAAGAATTTAGAGAGTAAGTATTTGTTCTCACCAGGGTACGATGGGATTATCATGACATGGGGCCCCGTTGGGGACATGAGTTACACACTTTATTTTCCCGAACCCAAAACCTCTTCTGCTAAGATGTCCCTTATTTTTCCAATTGCTTTTATCCAATTTTAAAGTTAAACAGAAAGCACAAGCCTTCTCTTGTTTAAATGTAGGAGTGAGACCAACTGCTTTTTATCCTTGCTTCTCTAAAAAGGAACTGCCATTTATACTTGATATGTGTAGCAGATACTGTTCATTCTCCACACAGCTTTAGATTAGATGCATAACTGACCATACCAGGCATGTTTTAGTTCAAATAATCCCTTACCACTCAAAGCACTTTACAATAGGCACTAATAATCTGCTATCTCTTTTATGCACAAAAGTGTGTTACTGATTCATTCTCTACTTCCTTCTAAATTATCTCGTAGCCTCTTTTTATATGCTTTGGAGCTGGAGAAAGAATTACACTACATCAATTTAAAACTAAACCGAGTGATGAGAAAGGTTTCAGCTCTATCCTACTGAGACAAGTGGAGGTGAGAATCTGTGATGCAATCATTGTACATTTCTAACAAAGATTCATTTCTGTATTGAATTATTTCCTAAACTTGTCCCCATTTCCGATATGCTTTAAAAGCACTAAACCACCTATCATCAAACTATTGCCAGAGTCAATGATAATCATCAAATGATTTCTGGGACTTAAGTGCCCCTGGATGGGACCGACTGTACAATCATGTGTATTACAACATGCCTCCAAAGTATATATACACTGGTTCACACAGAGGACTTTATAAGGTTATTAAACTAGAGGCCCAGTGCACAAAAATTTGTGCACTCGGGGGTGGGAGGTCCCTCAGCCTGGCCTGTGCCCTCTCGCAGTCTGGGACCCCTCGGGGGATGACCACCTGCTGGCTTAGGCCTGCTCCCCGGGGGATTGGGCCTAAGATGGCAATCAGACATCCCTCTGGCAGCCCGGCAGCCCTCGGGGGATGTCCACTTGCCAGCGGGGAGCAGGCCTAAGCTGCAGTCGGACATCCTTAGCGCTGCTGAGGAGGCAGGAGAGGCTCCCACCACCACCGCTGTACTGGCAGCCGTCAGCCTGGCTTGTGGCTGAGCACTGACCACCAGAGGGCAGCTCCTGCATTGAGCGTCTGCCCCCTGGTGGTCAGTGTGTGTCATAGTGACCAGTCATTCCCAGTCTTTCTGCTGTTAGGGTCAGTTTGCATATTACCCTTTTACTATATAGGATAGAGGCCTGGTGCACGGGTGGGGGCCAGCTGGTTTGCCCTGAAGGGTATCCCGAATCAGGGTGGGGGTCCCGCTTGGGTGCCTGGCCAGCCTGGGTGAGGGGCAGATGGCTGTTTGCAGCTGGTCACACCCCCTTCAGGGTGGGGGTCCCCACTGGGGTGCCTGGCCAGCCTGGATGAGGGGCTGAGGGCTGTTTTCAGGCTGGCCAGCAACTAAAGCTCCCAGCCTCTCCTTTTTTTCTTTTTTTTATTCTGGGATTTATTTACCTTCTATAATTGGAATATTGTTGCCGTCACTGGTGCTCCCAGCTCTGAGGCCGCTGCCTGCTGAAAGCAGGTATCTGGGGTTTGTTTAGCTTTTATAATTGAAACATTGTTGCTTTTGGGCTCAGAGCCGGGCCGCGGCAGACGGGGAACCTTGACTTCCTCCATCACTGAAGCAAGCAAGCCTCCTGCTCGCTTCAGCTGTGTGGCTGCCGGCCGCCATCTTTGTTGGCAGTTAATTTGCATATCGCCCTGATTAGCCAATGGGAAGCGTAGCGGAGGTACGGTTAATTACCCTTTTTGTCTTTTATTAGATAGGAGGATTCTATGAATGTGAAGGGAAAAGTACAAAATAATGCTGCTTACAGTTCATGGTGCAGGTCTCTAATTAATAGCTCAGTAAGTAGGTAAAGATGATTTTACTTTTTTTTTTATGATGATTTTTCAATGTTCCACGGACTGTAAAAACCACTGGTGCTCTAATCATGTACCATGAACCAGATAATAAACGCATAGGACTCTGTAAAGCCATCACACAATGGCTCAAGTAAAATAATCTCTTATCTCCATTCTTCCAATTTGAAGTCTCCTATAAAAAGCTAAAGTGTTAAAGAATAAACTTTCTAACCACTTACAGAAATTTCACTAATACCTTCAAACTAGAAACTCATTTAAACGGTTTCTATAGCAACACCTAAAGTTTCCCAAAAGTGCTTCCTCAACTGCTTTAGAAAGCAAAATACACTTTAAAAAATAAAGAGCAAAGTAGGAGTATCAGGGTTATTAAAAGTCATGTTTGAAAAGTGTAAATGAAGGTACTCCCAAAGCCCTGTTTGGATGGTTGGAAAGTTATGTGTGGCTGGCATTTAGGAAACTCTTCTAATTTTTTTTTTCAAGTTACATAAACCCTCCTAGAAAAACCTTTTGTTCTCTTAGCCCAAGCAACAGCATTTGACCATAGTACTCAACTTCCACATTGCTGCTCAACAGTCCCTGGATTTTAAATCTGAATAAAGGACATTTTAAATCTACCCACATTCCTCAGGCCAAGCTCACCACATTTTCTTGATAATTCACTGCAACAAGAAATGCTTACTATTCTCTCTGCATCTTCTCCCTACATTCCCACAAGGGAATCAACAACATGGCCTTTCCCTATTTTACCACTTCCCAGAGCTGTAGCCAGCCAGATAGTTTACTAACCCTGTTGTCCCCCGATATGATACCGGGTTAGGGTAATTCAAAGCCTCAGAATATTAAGACAAGGGAACACTTGAGGTCTCTCTTTTTCACTTTTCAACATCTAGTGGGGGTGGAGGTGGGGAGAAGCAAACAACATTTGCAATGACTCAGAACATCAAAGTTCTTTTATTACAAAAGTCTATACAATGAAGTGCCAGACACAGCAATGCAATTATACGGGTAGTCATGTATATATCTATATATTGTTTATATATAGATATTCAGTTTTAACTTATACCAAAGTAAAACTATCACAAACTGCCTTATTCTACCACCTACAGCTCAACTATGACACACAATATTGTCACACAGCATTGGTGCTGCCATGCCACTTTTATCTATTCTATTCACAGCCAAACAATAACAGTGAATAACCAATATCATGAAGCAGCTGTTAATTTTAAAATGAAACCAGTCAGGCCACTGACTTATAAAAATATGGTACTCATATAGATTTAGCATTACAAAGAAGGAATATATTATTTAAAACATTTAAATAGTGCATATGGACATTTTTGCATGTGGTATATAAAATAAAACATTCATATAAAACAATATACAGTGCACATTAAATGTTTGGATATACTCCTGCCTGGAGAGTGATAGAAATTAACTAAATGCACACTGCATGATGGATTCAAATCAAAGTGATCTTTTGGCATTCTCAATTTCATTTTTCTAGGTATACATTATGAATGACCTAGCTGCATCAAAAGAAAGGACATGCAAAGGGCAGGATTTAGTGCTGTACTCCTTAACTACAGGTTCACTACCAATGAATATTCCCTCCCTGCAAAAAAGGCATTGCACACACAGGTGAAATATGAAGCACTAGAAATACTACTTATTATCAAGCTACTTCATGGGCTTACTATGCAATAGTGCCAGAAGACTGAGGTCCATGCTTCCCTCCTCTTATTAAAGGATGTTGCAAAAGTCCATTTTTGTATGGAACAAATTGTTAATATTAACTAGTTAAGAAAACCAAGCATGAGTCATTACATGCAAAACATGGGCACAATCAAAGTAAGACACTCATCATTCCAAAAAAGCACCGGAAAAAAATTGAACACTTAGATTGAGCCTGACCGGAATATGCTATTAATGACAGTTACATTGTTAACACAAAGTCACCATTCTGTGAAAATGATTAGCAGAATGATACCTCGTGAGTACCCAAAGAAAAAGCCATGCAAAGCCAAAGAAAACAAGATATGCTTAGAGTATATAACAAGGGGCACACCACTACATATCTTGTGACCAGCGCTTTAAACACCATGTGATTGAGCAAAAAGTGATCCCTTTAAAAGATGTTTTCTTTATGGATTTTGCTGATTAAGAGAAAAAAAGGATGCAACCTCCTGAAGGTACATGTAAAAATGCAGTGGTATAGCCCTTGTTAAGAACAGATTTACTTCAGGCATAATGATTCTTTTGCTAATTTCGGCCCATTTAATTGAACACACAAATCTGAGTACCATCCAAGTTCCTACATACTGACATGGCTCTTTACTCATATTATCTGGAGGTCAGTGGGGAGAAAAAATGGAGGATCTGATCCAGACAAATCACATCATCACCAGTTGATGAACAGTAGCTGAGAAAACAAATAGTAATTTAAGTCCCATAGGCAGCATGTGGTATGATTCAGTTCTGTGTGTTTTCACTATACGAATAAGCAAGGTCACTTTTTGGTCTAACCTCTCTTATCTTGACCCAGGAGCTGTGTGACCACTGAATTGCAAAATTTTGTTAACATACTACCTGTGAAAAAGTGTTACTTTGGGAATTAAACAGAAATGTGTTCCACAGTAGGACTTGAAATTTCAGTTGATTTTAGTTTTCGAAGAAAACATAGAACATGGAGCATATGTGCACATTTATATGCTTTTCTTTCAAATTTTCAGTCATTGTGTAAGAAAAAGGCAACCAAAGAATTCAATGTGAAGATTTTCCTCTTAATTTTCTTCCGTAATGAAAAAACAATGAAGTTGGTAGTAACAAAAAGCTTGTACTTCCAAAGTCCTTGAGGTTGAAAGGATAAAATACTAGTCTTTTCTAATAGGATGTATCTGTAGTACAAAACAATGAAGAAAACGGGATGTTTGTTAAAGGTAGAGAGAACAGTCTGTGGTTAATATGGAACATTGTGCTCCCTAGAGAGGGTCTACTTACCCTCCCCCATCATTTCTCTAGTGGCACCACAACCAAATTACAAAATGAGATTCTGAGTGCCTGACAAAAAGTACCAGCCAAGTACACACGATGATAGTTTTAGGGAATACAACTGATTTTATGATGTTTCAAGCATTTTTATATGGATTTTGAAGAATCTTGCTTGCTGATAAGAACTTCAAGAAGCCTAAGCTTGGCTTTAATTTTCTTGTACTCCCTGTACTCCTCAAGTACTGGAACACGATCCTCTTTCTGGGCATTCCTAGGGGAGAAAATAAAACGTGTAATATTCTAGAGATCATCTGGAAAACAAAGTCCCAGAGTTATCCAAATGTGAGACAATGTTAACAAATATAAATTCAAATAAAAAATTGCTCTGTAAGGAAAAAATATTATTGGATTAATTCCCCCCCCCCGCCCCGTCCCCAAAGAACATTCCTGAAATACTTCTATTTTTGATGGATTTTTTCTATTGATACATTAAATGATACTATACTTATCAATGATGATTGTAAATAACTAGAGGTAATCTTTTACTTTATTTTTTATAGGTAAAATTTTAATAAGACATACACTGCTAGACTCTGTCAGGTCTGTGAGTGTACATATTAAGTGCCAGAGGGCTATAATGAGTCATTTCAGACATTAACTCTGGCTTCAGTGAATTGAAATGTAAAAGCAAAACATCTCACTTATAGTAGCAAATAAGTAGTCTCCTAACTTTATATCCTATATAATAAAAGCCTAATATGTTAAGTGTCTGGTCACCTGTTCAACCAATCAAAGTGTAATATGCTAATGATATGCTAAGGCCACTCAACCACTCGCTATGATGTGCACTGACCACCAGGGAGCAGATGCTCTGACCAGTAGGTTAGCTTGTCCAGACACGCCCTGGAGCCCTCCCGTGACCCTTCCCTGGCTGGCCAACCTCCCTCGTCCCTCCCCAGCTCCAATCATGCACCGGTGGGGTCACTCGGCCTGGCCTGCGCCCTCTCGCATTCAGGGACCTCTTGGGGGATGTTAGAGAGTGGTTTCGGCTCCATCTCACAGGCCAGGCCAAGGGACACCACTGGTGCATGAATTTGTGCGCCTGGCCTCTAGTTATTAATGACCCAATACAATCTACTTTAATTACTAGGTAAAGCACTAGGTATAATAATTATAAGCAGAGTTTCTTCCAATAAGACAAAGAATGAAAAGGTACTTGGAAAATTCATTCTTGTACTTGAGATTTTTTTAAAACTATTTTTGCTAACCTATATAGATAACTCTCAAATTATTTAAAGTAAACACATTTTAGAATTTGTAATATACCCATTGGCTGGTAAGATCACCATTACATGGTAAGACTTTTCTGAGACCTGAGATAGCCCGCATTTCTGGCTACCATTTGAATTAGAATGTATTTTTCTTACTCAAAAAAAGAGTCTCACTGAGTCAACTGCACATTATGCAGTTAGATAAAGCCAACTGTCATATTGTATTATAGGAGCCACATGATTGCCACCCTGTGACAACCTTGGAAATGGGCAGCCTGGAATGAACAATGAAACCTAAGCAACAATGGTCTCAGTATAAGAATCCAAACCAATTGAAGATGCCACTCATGTTATGAGACCCTTGCTAATACATCTTGTTTCACAAACACTTCCAAAAGGGTGAGGGTGTGGTATAAAAGAACAAAAAATTGACACTCAACCAAGCCTATCTAGGACAACATTAGAATATTTTATCAGGTGTTTACTTCAGCTCTGACTTTAATATATTTTTATTGATTTCAGAGAGTAAGGGAGAGGGAGAATCATTGATCGGCTGCCTCCTGCATGACCCCCACTGGGAATCAAGCCCACAACCCGGGCCTGTGCCCTTGACTGGAATCGAACCCAGGACCCACCACAGGCTGACGCTCCATCCTCTGAGCCAAACCAGCTAGGGCAGCTCTGACATTTTCTTGCCATTAATGTATAAAAAAATGTTTTCAGGGCTTCAATGTATAAAAAAATGTTTCTTACTTTTATTGTCAATGCTAATATCCTTATATGCACAATTTATGTCTGATCCTCTTTATTTAACATGTGAGCACTTGTGAGTTTAAAAAGGCTCAATTTTGTGATGCTCAACAAACCTTCCATTTTGTTGGTAAAATGCTTCTTCAAATTCCCGTAATGTTTTACGTAGTTTCTTTTTTTCAGCTCTGGCTTTCCAAAGTTGTTCCAGTAATTCAGGCCTAAAATTGAAATAGGAAGAAAACATTACTGAAAGGGCACTGTTGATTCATTATGTTCTCAACAGTGGTTTGAACCCTTGCTCCACCCCAGACCAACTAAATCAGAATAGTTGCTAGTAGGGCTCTGCAGCAATACTTAAAAAAAAAAATCCTGCCCTTTCTTCCCTTTTAGCGCTCGCTAGCAATAGCCCGTGCTCCACTTTCTCCTGCTGCCGCCCAGCTCCTGGGTCAGCCCATACCATGGGCTTTGGAGACCTGAAAAGCCCTTCCGGCCTCCAGGTGCTCAACAACTACCAGGAGGACAAGAGCTAAATCAAGGGGTGTGTACCATCACAAGCAGGCGTGGCAGTATTTGAAGCAGTCTCCAGCCCAACACCTGCCAACCTGTACCATGCCCCTCATTGGTACAATCACATCAAGTCTTACGAAAAGGAGAAGGCCAGCCTGCCTGGAGTGAAGAAAGCTTTGGACAGGGATGGACCTGCTAATGTGGAAGACACCACAGGAAGTGGAGCTACTGATAGTAAAGACAATGACAGTGACATTGATCTCTTTGGACCTGATGAGGAGGAGGAAAGCAAAGAAGCAAAGAGGCTAAGAGAAGAACACCTTGCACAGTATGAGTCAAAGAAAGCCAAAAAACCTGCACTTGTTGCCAAGTCTTCCATCTTATTAGATGTGAAACCTTGGGATGATGAGACAGATATGGCAAATTAGAGGAGTGTGTCAGGAGCATCCAAGTAGACGGCTTGATCTGGGGCTCTTCTAAACTGGTTCCAGTGGGGTATGGAATTAAAAAACTTCAAATACAGTGTGTAGTGCAGTGATGGCGAACCTTTTGAGCTCGGCGTGTCAGCATTTTGAAAAACCCTAACTTAACTCTGGTGCCGTGTCACATATAGAAATTTTTTGATATTTGCAACCATAGTAAAACAAAGACTTATAGTTTTGATATTTATTTTATATATTTAAATGCCATTTAACAAAGAAAAATCAACCAAAAAAATGAGTTCGCATGTCACCTCTGACACACGTGTCATAGGTTCGCCATCACTGGTGTAGTGGAAGATGATAAAATTGGAACAGACATGCTAGAGAAGCAGATCACTGCTTTTGAGGACTATGTGCAGTCCATGGACATGGCTGCTTTCAACAAGATCTAAAATCCATCCTGAATCAGTGCCCTTTAAATAAAAGCTTGAAAGATTAAAAAAAAAAAAAAAAATCTTCCCAGGTGATCCTAAAGTGAAGCCAGGGCTAAGAACCAAAGTCAGACACCATATCAGGTAAGAAGGTGACAGAGAACTTAACAAATAACTCCCAGCTGTTTCTGGCACTTTGTTAGAAAGCAAATATAGAATTTTAGTTTTTAAATTTTTCAACACACTAATATTTAATTTAAAAATTGTTAACTGGACAACATGTATTTGTAAATCACATTTTTTTAAAAAGGATGTATCTCTTAAGTACTGTATTAATTCCTGCCGAGTGCTCAATTATTTAACATTACATTTCTTGTCATATTAAGTTTTATTACACAAATAGGCTAAAATCACAAACTAGCCAACATACATAGATGCTGCTCGAGTACTTGACAATCGGAGATCCAGAGCCAGTTTTTCTTGATTTTCCTCCACATCAGATTCTGAGGTTTCTAGTGAAGACTGTGCCTGTACAGCAGTTTGCAATATATCAGTTAACTCAGAGGACAGACTAACACCTTCTTCTTCTTCTTCCTAAAAAGATAGTCAAAAACAAAGAATCAAACGGGCATAACTTTCAACTTTTCTTTTAGAAAAGAGATCAGAGATTAATTCTTTTAAGGATTACCTTGATTTCTTCAAAAAAATGTGCAGTTTCTCCTTCTATGATTGGCTGTAACATCTGACCCCTTCGCTTGGTGGATGGAGATCCCTGCAACAATTAACATACAAATGATTAAATTTTAATTATTTATTCAATGAGGCTTCACTTCAATAATATTCAACTTTATTTTCAAAATCCTAATCATTTATGCTATTAATTATTTAGGAATTCCTTAGTAAAAAAAATGTTCTTGCTTACATGTATTTTCTAGTTGTGTGTACATAAAAGTGATAAATTATATTTTATGTACAAATAATTCTAGCCTTAGCCGGTTAGCTCCAGTCAAGGGCACATACCTTGGTTGCAGTCTCCTCCCCCGTCAGTGCCCTGGTCAGGGCGCCTGTGGGAGGCAACCAATCTATGTATTTCTTTCTCATCGATATTTCTGTCTTTCCCTCTCTCTTCCACTCTCTCTCAAAATCAATGGAAAAATATTCTCGGGTGAGGATTAAAACAAACAAACAAATAAATACTTCTAAAAGGGCTCATTCAGTAAATATTTAAGAAATTCTAAATAAAAGAATGACAATTTAATTGGAAAAGAATTTTCTTTTTAAGAATAGTTGTCAACCATTTTGGTCTGAGGAACACTTCATACCTTTTTTAAAAAGTAACAGCTTTAGTCCTAGCCCGTATGTCCCAGTGCCTAGAACAGGGGTCCTCATGCAAATACAAATATTGTATTTGTTCCTGTTTTGTTTTTTTACTTCAAAATAAGATATGTGCAGTGTGCATAGGAATTTGTTCATAGTTTTTTTTTAAACTATAGTCTGGCCCTCCAACGGTCTGAGGGGACAGTGAACTGGCCCCCTGTTTAAAAAGTTTGAGGACCCCTGGCCTAGAGCATTGGCCTGCGGACTGAAGGGGCTCAGGTTTGATTCCAGTCAAGGGCATGTACTCGGTCGCAGGCTCGATCCCCAGAGCATGCAGAAGGCAACCAATGGGTGTGTGTCTTATATCAATGTTTCTCTCTTCCCTTCCCCCCAACTTAGACTCTCTCTAAACCAATGGAAAAAATATTATCTTCGGGTGAGGATTAACAACAACAACAAAAAACATTAAAAAGTAACAGCTTCAGCGAAGCCAGAGTAAACCAGGAGGTCATGGTTCCAGGTTTCAGGCTTAATCTCCAGTGGGGTGTGTGCAGGGGACAGCCAATCAATGATTCTCTCTCATCATTGATGTTTCAATCTCTCCCTCTCCCTTTTTCTCTCAAATCAATATTTTTTTGTAAAAAAGTAACAGCTTCATTGAGATATGTCACATACCATAAAATTCACTTTTTTTAGTGAGTTTTAATATACTGAATTCACAAGTTATACAACCATCACCACTAGAACATTTCATCACAACCCTCACCCCCCAAAATCGTATACTCATCAGCTGTTATTCAGGTGCCCTCTACCCCCAACCCTTGGCAAACACTAATCTTTCTGTACCTATGGGCTGGCCTATTCTAGATATTTCATATAAATGGCATCATACAATATGTGGCCTTTCGTGTTTGGCTTCTTTCATTTTGCATAAATATTTTCAAGGTTCATCCATGTTGTATTATGTATGAGTACTTCATTCCTTTTTATGGCTGAATAATATTCCGCTAGTTGGATACACTTATTTTTAAATAAGGATATGTTATTGACTTTAGAGACGAAGGGGAAGAGAGAGACAAAGAGAGAAACATCAACTGGTTGCCTCCCATCCACGGCCCAACTAGGGATAGAACACACAATTTAGGTATGTACCCTGACCGAAAATAAAACTGGCAACTTTTTGCTGCACAGGACTAGTACACTCCAGCCAACTAAGCAACCAGTCAGGGCGATACAGTACTTTTGTTTATTCATCTCTCACTGGAAAATTTGAGTTGTATTAAATAAACTTTTATGGCCCTGGTTGGTGTGGCTCAGTTGGTTGGAATATCATCCCATAGACAAAAAGGTGGCAAGTTCAATTTCCAGTCAAGGCACATACCCAGGTTTCAGGTTCAATCCCCAGTTGGGGCTCCTATAGAAGGCAACTGATCGAAGCTTCTTAATCTCTCTCTCTCTCTTTAAAAAAAAAAAAAAATCAGTAATGATTAAATTAACTTTTATATACAAAGAATATAAATTGTACAGGCTTTTTTCCCCTTGTTCAAAGAAAGCCGACTCTATCTAAATAAAAGTGTTGAGATGACCAACTTGGAAAAAAAAACAGTCAATTCAGAATAGAATCAGGGCCACCTGGCCAGTGTGCTCAGTGGTTAGTCATCCCGATATGCCAAAGTTAAGGGTTCAATCTCTGGTCAGGGCACAAACAAGAAGTAATCAATGAATGCATAAATAAATGGAACAACAAATTGATGTTTATGTCTCTCTTCCCCTTCCCTCTAAGTATAAAAAAAATTTTAAATTAAAAAAGAATCAGTTTCTATGAAGGCTAAGTAAAAAGTGCTCAGAAGGCCAATGTGAACTTTCTAATGAGTAGTCAGGTGGTGAGAGCCTGAACGTTTCGAAACCCCCCATGAAAGTGGCTACCACCATAAAAATGGCCTGCAAGCCTAAGCAAACCATAAGCTCTAGTAAATTAATTCCTATGAGAGGATGCAAAATGGGCTATATGCTGTTTTCTACTTGAGCCTGAGAGAAATCTAAAGTCATACAATTTAATGGTTAATTTGGGGATATAGCACTTAATTTATACATTAGTATTAGAGTTAGAATTTTCTAAAATTGTACACGAATATGAATAAGCATTATTTTAACAAACTTTTTCGTTTAAAAAGATAAACTTGAAAAAAATCAGTTGATATTGTGCAAATAAAAATACATAATCATGATGGACATCACAAAACTAATGTAATTTCAAAGACATGAATTTAAATGGAAAAAAGCTAGGTAAGAGTTTGAAATAATTCCACAAAGTAGATGACCCTGGCATATTGTTCCTGAGCCTCAGTTTCATCATCTGTGAAATGAGGCTATGAGGCTATCTTCTGTTACCTGTTGAAACCTATCAGGATGTAATGACATAATCATACAGAAAAATGCTTTACAAAAATGACTACTAGTAGAGATAATAGCAGGCACTTATTAATTTCCTATTATTTTTTAAAGCAGTAACCACCTTACAATATACAATTCATGCCACCAAGTCTATGTCTTTCTCCCACATACTACCATAATTTTTTTAAGAGGAGGTCTTGGCAAAATTAACTAGATAAATTTTTGCATGTTTTACTTACAAGGATAGGAGTGATGCTAGCTCTTGTCAACATCTGTTTTACAAGTCTGTATCTATCATAGAGAGGTTTAACAATGTGCCTTTCTTCCCTGGTCACCTGAAGCAAAAACAATGGAAATTATCTGGTCATAAGAAATCTAAAATGTCCAAAATATTAAGCAATCTGACTTTCCCCCCAATTTTTAGAAGTTGTTTTAACCCTTTTGCACTCCGCTGTCCCCTCTCAGGGGACATCGGAATTCTAGCATATCACTCGGATGTCCCCTCTCAGGGGACATTGCAGTTTATTAGTGATTACGGGGAATTGAGTTATTTCAACGCAACTTTTTGAGACATGCATGTTTCCCTGAAGTTTTATCTTGAAATGGCACAAGAAATTAAATCAAAATATCGTAAAATTACTAAGATATATACATATACATATATTACTAAGATATATACAAGAAATGTCAGCGGGTTTTGTGTCGGATTAAACAATAAACTGCATATTCCCGATGTGGGACAAAGAAAACGGGACTGCATTGTGTGTTCTAACAGGAAAACACCTGGTGGCAGGCGTCAAACCACTTATTACTGTCAAACATGCACTAATCAGCCTGCAATGCATATTGGGGAGTGTTACAAAACTTACCATACTGTACAAAATTATAAACAATAAAATATTGTTTTTTTTGCAAATATACATTCCTCGATGTCACCCAATTCATATAAGTCCAATATCATTATAATACGTTACTTGGTTCCAAAATTATACTAAATAATACGAGGGTCTGTAAATGCACGTTTCCGCCGCAAAGTAGCGTCGAGTAGCTGGTAGCCAATGTCCAGAATGGTTCGGAGTGCAAAGGGTTAAATAAGTAGTCAATTTTCCAAATGGAAGAAACAATGCTCTATAATATGCTCTATAACAATGCTCTATAATATGCTCTATAACAATGCTCTGAAGATGTGGGCCACAAATGTGATCCTCTTTTTTAAGCAAGAGCGACATTACCGGCCTTCCATGTTGACTTTCATAGTAAAGAAGACTTTTCTGGAGAGAAGTTTTCTCTTCTACCAAATGAAGTTTTCTCTTCTACCAAATGATCTTTTGTCATTTTCTAGGAAAAAAACAAAACAAAACACTCCCATTGGCACCATCATTACTGTCCGGTGAAAGGGCAGCCCATCACCACTCTAACCGAGGCTAATAAGAATACATCTTTGCTTGTGAATTTATAAGCAACATTTCTCAGTCACCTGCAGAATCTGGTATTCTGATATTTAGGTACCAGTCTTCTTTGGTGGTTTAATTTATATTTTATCTGAATAAGTTATGAATACCAGCTTAGTGGCCTTACGTAAATTATTTAACCTCTTTTTGTTCAATATCTTAATCTATAAAAGGGGAAACTTCAACGGTCTCATAAGGCTCTAATGAGTTAGTATATGTTGTAAAGGCATACAATAAGCACACATAAATGCCTATTAATTTATTTATATTTACATAGTTTTATTGATATTTAACTACATACAGGTCTTATAATCTAGTATTTCTCCTAAAAACAAAATCTGGAAGCAGTATAGTGGAAAGAATGTGAATAAAAACAATGTCAATTTGTGACCTTAGACCTTATAACCTCAGTATCTCTTCATCTGGAACTTTCTTTTCACTATAATCCTCTTGTCATAACTTTTAGTACTCTAAATTATACTAGAGTAGGGAAGACACCCCAAATTTATTTGCCTATAGAACCTCCCAGCTTTGTTCCAAAGGACCTTTTAACATATCAGCAAACCACTGTTCCACAGACTACCCTTCAACACTACACCAAATAAACTCTCTACTTAATCCCAGGAATAGATAATACTATCTATCCCAGTGGTTCTCAACCTTCCTAATGCCGCGACCCTTTAATACAGTTCCTCATGTTGTGGTGACCCCCAACCATAAAATTATTTTTGTTGCTACTTCATAACTGTAATTTTGCTACTGTTATGAATCATAATGTAAATATCTGATATACAGGATGTATTTTCATTGTTACAAATTGAACATAATTAAAGCATAATGATTAATCACAAAAACAGTAATTATCTATGTGTTTTCCGATGGTCTTAGGCGACCCCTGTGAAAGGGTCGTTCGACCCCCACAAAGGGGTCGCGACCCACAGGTTGAGAACCACTGATCTATCCTGTTTCTCACCAGAGTGAAATTAGAGGTTTAAAAAAAAAATCACTGGATATCTTCCTCTAACAAATGTCACTTGAGGTTATATACATTTAGTAGAGTCCAGCTGGGTAAAGACCAGCAGTTCTCAACCTGTGGGTCGCGACCCCTTTGGCGGCCGAACGACCCTTTCACAGGGGTCGCCTAAGACCATCCTGCATATCAGATATTTACATTACGATTCATAACAGTAGCAACATTACAGTTATGAAATAGCAACGAAAATAATTTTATGGTTGGGTCACAACATGAGGAACTGTATTTAAAGGGCCAGAAGGTTGAGAACCACTGGTATAGACTCTATAATAATATGAACAATGTAATTTCAACCTCAAGCCTGATTCTTAAACCTAGGATAATGAATGTGAAAAGCTAATCCAATCAAAATAACTTAAAGGGAGGAGGTTGGTCTAACACAAGATCAAAAAACAAAAGGTGGAGAAAAGGAGCAATTAGAATTTCTAACCCAGCTCTGTTCAAAGGAGAGCAACTCCAATACTTAGATAATGAGAGAGGTATAACTCTTTTGTTGAGAGAGCATGGACAAAAGTTTACTTGGGACCATCTATCTACGTCTGTACTTTCCCAGCAATTCTCGAGATAAATGATTTGGGTTGCCAAGTGCTTTGACCAGGACTGCCTGAGGCATTGGCTTAGTGAATAATGGTTCGTTTCAAAAAATTCATTCACTTAATCCTTATAATAACCATATTGTTAGTATTTTAATGGGCATCATCATATCCATGTAAGTCATAGAGCTATCTAAGACCTATGCACATACTATAATCAGTCAGGGCCAAGCATAAAAATTCAATACATATAACTGTTAAGATACAATGCCAGAATTCAAACTAACATTGTTGCATGCTCTTTATTCATCTTACCAACTGCCTCCCATATAAACAAACAGATCCCTAAATGATCGGGCACTTTTGGTGTGCTGATAAAAACATGTATCTATATCTGCAAACTTGGGGAGCAGACTCTGGCCAATCAGACTACCTAGACATTTCTATGCCACTGTGGTAATTACTTTATTTTAGGGACTCTAGGCTAGTCTGGGCAAAACCATAGCTCAAAATTACTTTGATATCTTCTGGAAGACACCTCTCAACACGTTTTTCCTTCAGTCTTTTCAGAATAAGTTCCAGTGTTGCTTCCTTAGATGGCTTCTTCTCCTTATGAATGACCCTGGATTCATCTTCATTCTCTTCATCCTCATGGTCTAGAGAAGAGCCAAAGCTTTTTGGAAGAGTGTTACTACGTGGACGTGTCTGAGGTAACAATTCTCCATCAGAGCTTCTGTGTTTTGCGTCTACATTTCAGAACCAAGAAGATAAATCAGTGACTTTAACTAAAATGCAACTAAGTCAAAAGAGTAAGCAGCAAACAAGATATAAAAGAGGAAAGTATACATTAGCAGCTCTCAGGCTCAGATATTTCAAGATTACATGAAATGTTTAAATTATATATAGCAACCAATATTCATAGACATTGTAAGATGCTCTTACTATAATGTAAGATGCTCTGATAAGCATTGGAAAAACAGACATGTCCCTATTTTCATGTAGTATATAATTCGGGAAGTAAAAACAAAAACCTAGTAATCAAATTCATAAACCAAATTTCAGAGTGCTAAGTGCTATAAAGAAGACAAGATAGGATGGTTTCACAGTGCTGAAAGGAACAGAGCAGTGATTGTGGAAGAGCAGCTACATTAGATGGGAATGACAATGAAGGCCTTTCTGAGATAGTGACATCCTCGTTGAACGTGGAATAAGAAGATAAACTAGTATAAAAGATTTAGGGGAAGAACATTCCTCCCCAATTGAGGCAATAGCCTACAGTGCATAGGCCCTAAAATGTGCCATGTGTAAGGAACAGAAAATGAGAAAAGAAAGTGACAAAATGAGCTAAGGGCAGAGTATGCAAGGCTTTGAAATCCATGGCAAGAAATCTGGACTTTATTCTAAGTGGGAAAGGAAGCCTAATGAAGGGCTTTGGACAAGATTAGTAACAGTTCTTGAAAAGATAATTCTGGCTGCTATGAAGAGAATGGACTATAGGACAACAAGAGTGGAAAAAATTTTAAAAATTACTTGGAAACCAATTTTTCTTGTTTAATGTCAATATGGTTGGAAATTGGCATTAAACAAGGAAATGCTTAACAGACTTGTAGGAAACAATTCTAAAGAAGAGATATGAGAACGACAAAAATGTAAACTCAATGACAATAGGGACACTATCGTGTTCACTGCTATAACCTCATGTCTACAAGTACAAGTACTTTATACCTAAAGATACTAAAAATTTGGTTGAATTCAAATGAATACACTAAAACATGATAGTCCAGATTATAAACCCCGACTGGGTACAGAAAAATTTTTTAAGTATTAACAAGTGGAACAACAAATCAATGTCTTTGTCTCTCTCTCCCCACTTCTTCTCCCCTCTCTAAAATGAATAAATGAAAAAAAAATTTTAAAAACATGCTCACTAAACATACAAAGTAATTATATCTTAGCAACTGCTGTTCTGGATTAACAGTAACACAACACCTAGTTTGGATTCAAGAAGGCTTATTATTTAGTTTTTGTAGTAAAAACAGTTTATTATGATTAGATATTCTTAGTCTAAGATGAAATACCAAACACCAAAACTGCTTAATATTTGAGATATATTTCAGATAAACTTTATAATATCACCTATGAATATACAATCAAGGGCACCTTTCCAAAGAACACTACTAATCAAAACACAGGAAGACATTTGGAAGAACTGTAATAGTGCCACAACTGACCATAACTAATAAGAAAACTTCTACTTTGGTGAACAGTGTCCAAGATTTAAAATTATCAAAATTATAACTATAATTCTCATACACATTATAAAGAATATTTTTAAAATGAAAATATATTACAAAAGTGGCACATTTTATACCTTTAATTTGCTTCCGCAGTTTGGTAAGCTCTGTCATCCATTTTAATACCTTTGGGTTAGCTGCAATATCACTGTAAGAAGGCTGGAAAATAAAGAAACAGAATCACTGACACTTTTGTGGTAAAAAATAGTTACATTAATTTATGCCTAAGTAATATTTTATAGTTTCCACAGCAGAGATTTCATTTCCAACTTACCTTATTTTAAGTAGATATGAAAGCTCTCAGAGCAGTATTTAGCAACTGGCAGGAGCCAGATTTGAATATGGGTCTTCTTTCCACTTCACGTTCTGATTATTAAATTATTAAATTTATTAAACTCTCTCTTTCTCCACCTCCTACCCTTGGTACTTGTGGTTTTGGAGGGAGAACACAAGTAATATTAATGTCATTTGTCAATGTAAAGCAGTGGTTCTCAACCTTCCTAATGCCGCGACCCTTTAATACAGTTTCTCATGTTGTGGTGACCCCCAACCATAAAATTATTTTATTGCTACTTCATAACTGTAATTTTGCTACTGTTATAAATCGTAATGTAAATATCTGATATGCAGGATGTATTTTCATTGTTACAAATTGAACATAATTAAAGCATAGTGATTAATCACAAAAACAATATTAATTATATATGTGTTTTCCGATGCTCTTAGGCAACCCCTGTGAAAGGGTATTTCGACCCCCAAAGGGGTCGCAACCCACAGGTTGAGAACTGCTGATGTATTTACTTTAAAAATTCCATAGCCCGGCTGGCATGGCTCAGTGGTTGAGCGTCGACCTATGTACCAGGAGGTCACAGTTTTATTCCTTGGGCAGGGCATATGCCTGGGTTGTGGGCTTAATCCCCAGTGTGGGACATGCAGGAGGAAGCCGATCAATAATTATCTCATCACTGATGTTTCTCTCTCTCTCCCCGTCCCTTCTTCTCTGAAATCAATAAAAATATGAAACTCTACAAGCTGTTTTTCCAATGGAAATAGCTGGCATGAAAACCAGGAGACTAAGGTTCTATATAATTTCAGATCTGCATGATGTCTGGGCATCTCAGATTCTCTTTCCCAGGAAGAGATGGACTAATGCTCTCCAAATACATTCTCCCAGTTCCAATAGAGCTATCTGGAAATGTTACAAACTTACCTTGCTATTTCTTTCCCTTTCAAACTGTTCTTCAAATTGTCTGATTTTTTTCTGAAGTTTCTTGACCAACTGATATGGTGTTCTGTCTTCTCTTTTTTCATCTTTTGAACTAAAGGATGATCTTCGAATCCTGAATTAAAACAAGAGGCAAACACTATGTGTTAAATTTTTAAGTTAACACCGTATCTCTTATTGCCCTTATATAACATGATACTATTACCAAGAAGTATATCCCTAATACTAAAAAACAGAAAAAGAAACTTATGCTATAGTGTTACAGGCCATAAAATTAGCTAATGCAAGCACTGACTAAAACAATTTGAAATCATTCAAAAGTTGTTTGGACAAAGGCAAAAACAAAGATATCTAGGCAGCTCAGAGCTCTCTTTGTGTTCAAACTGCACAGGAAAGATTTTGACATTAAGAATCGTTTTAATTCAAAATTTTGACAAGCTCCACTTGCTGCTTCCCTTCCAGAGATCTGTAATCCAATCATAAGTGATTAAATGAATAAATACACCATGAGAAAATTTCTATTAGAGAACAAATCCCAAACAGTATTCCCCAATGAACCCAGAATTTAGGGATCCAAAAAATTAAGTTACAAAAATGTGCTTCATGATATATGGGAGAAAGCTTTGAACTTCATTGCCTGAGTTTCAAAGGACCTGGGTACATAATAGGAATCACTCCTCATAAGTACATAAAAATCATATACCTAGCAAAAGACAGTGCTTTAGATGAGGAAGTCAATGTCTCTGGATCATGTAAGAAACGCTGGCTTTGCCCAAAATCTAAACTACGGTGTGATAATACTGGAGGACAGTCCTCTTCCAGGGGGTGATGATTCATTCTTCCAGCTTGTGGAGAGAGTTGAGCTTCCCCAGACTCAGAGTCTTCCTGCCAAGACTTAAAAGCAGGAAATGGCTCTGTAAAACAAACACAAAGAATAGTACCGTGGGTCTCTGGGTTCCACATGGAAAAGAAGTCACACAACATCAGCTATATGTCTTTTGAATCAGATCATTATGTGGTGATTCATATAATATTTATGATATTAAAAACAAGGAATATTAGGATCTTCATAAAGCCTACTATAGTTTAAAATTGCCTGAGTTTCATTTTTAAGTCTAGAGTTCTATTTTCATATAAGGAGTTAATACTTTAAATTTCTGAACCCAGTCTCGAAGTAAGAAAGGACACTGTCAAGCTCTTTAAAATTACAAAAATGTTATTTTTCAAGTATGGCAAAGTCTTCATTTAGAAACACTCAAAAGTCCTTAGGCAGGAATTTAACTTAGCCAAATGCTGCCAGGTGAATAAATTGTCCTTCACTGTAAAGTGGCTATGTTAAGAAGTGGAAGCTAGCCCTAACTGGTTTGGCTCAGTGGATAGAGCGTTGGCCTGTGGACTGAAGGGTCCCAGGTTCGATTCCGGTCAAGGGCATGTACCTTGGTTGCGGGCACATCCCCAGTAGGGGGTGTGCAGGAGGCAGCTGATCAATGTTTCTCTCTCATCAATGTTTCTAACTCTCTATCCCTCCTCTCCCTTCCTCTCTGTAAAAAATCAATAAAATATATTAAAAAAAGAAATGGAAGCTATTCCCCAAGCTATACAGAACACTCACCAAATGGAGTTCTCTGGCTCCAAATGAATTCTAATATTTCCAAATGAGTAGCTAACTCACCTAATAGTACCTCCTAGCCTCTAACATTAAACTGTGGTGGTTATTTTCTGTTACAGGATTCTGATGCACAATATATATTTTAATAATTAAACACCCAACAGTATTATCAAGACATAATTTAATAGCACATCTTTCTTAAGCACATTTATTTTATTGGTTACCCTGTATGTTTTCAAATAAAAGCACAAGGACATACTTAATATCTTTGCATATATAAGGCTTAATTACATATAAACACAGAGATAAATACACAGTCCATAAATATACTCCAAATATAAAATTAACTTTCAAGTATTACTGGAGTCTGTGGGGAAGGGGAGACATTTTTCACTTTTCTATCTACACATTAACTTTATTTAAAACTACAATTTAAAACTTTTACGCCATGGTTATTAACGATAACAAAAATGAGTTTTAAAGTATTTTGGGATGCAAAGATGGCTTGACAGTGTCAAAAATCAAGAATCATGTTTTCTTTTTCTGCACTCAATAGCTAAGGATTGTTACTTTAGTAATTTAGTTTCTAATTTTATGCATTAGCAGTTTAAAGCATTATAGTTTTTCCAGGGTAATAAAAACATATATTCTGTTAGTTTTTAAAGCCAAGATCAACCTGATCACTAAAAAGGTACAAAGCGTGCCTTTCCACAAGAAACCCAGCAATAAAGTGATTTTCAAAGCAACCCCTTGTACCTGCTTCCCAGCATATAAGTAACTGGCAAACATTTTACAAGAAATCTCCTATTTTAAGAAAAGATAGAAATAACAGAAACAATTTTTTCTGGGTACCATTTTTAACCCAGATCAGTTTTCCAACCATATGGGGACAGCAGGAGAAGGGCTAATAAAAAAGGCAAACAAAGTGAACCATAAAAAGGCATAAAAACTAAACTATGGTGAACCATACTTACCCTCCCCATCTCTCTGCAGATGCATTGTTTTGAAATCAATGAGGGGGAAAGTGATAGGGCATGATGCTAATAAAATGGGAAAAAATGGCAAAAAATACTAAAGTGAACATACAGCACAGTCAGAACAAACCATACACATAACTAACACAAGCCAAAGATACCAAAAATATTACCCTAAAACCAGTTAGGCATTCCACTCAAAAACTTTATCCAAAGAAATTACTGACCAAACTTTAAAAACAAACACAAACATACATTTCCATTTCAGCAAGCAAGGCAAAAAAATCAAAGAGTACTGTTTATTAAAACGCAAACATAAAACTAAAGAAATGGAAACTCTTAACCAGGTACGGTTTGAAGCTTTTCAGTATAATTGAATTGACACAAAAAAATTCTCCCTTTGATTGTTCTTTGATTGCTGTTTTCCATTCAAGAGTTAGCAGGAAAGAATCTGAAGGAAAAATGTTATCCACTTCCATTAAAAGCCAAGATCTTTTGAACAGCTGCTACAAATGCATACCAGTAGTAGCTATGTGCTACCTGCTTGCTAACTGCATTCTATTGACTATACTTGGAACAATACAAAAAAGAAAACTCACACACAGGAAGAGGTGGACCTCTATCTGGAGTCACCCCACTTCTCTATTAAGAGTTACACTCAATAAGGTTTGTCTCTGATTCTAAGGTATCTAGGGTCTAAAGTAATTCAGCCTCTTAACAAAGACATTTAGAACTAGAGGCCTGGTGCACGAATTCATGTACCAGTGGGGTCCCTCGACCTGGCCTGCAGGACCGGGCTGAAACTGGCTCTCTGACATCGCCCAAGGGGTCCCGGATTGCGAGAGGGCGCAGGCCAGGCTGAGGGACCTCACCGGTGCACAATTGGGGCCGGGGAGGGACACAGGAGGTTGGCCAGCCAGGGAAGGACCATAGGAGGGCTCCAGGGTGTGTCCAGCCTGTCTCGCTCGGCTGCACCCCAGCAGCAAGCTAACCTACGGATCAGAGCATCTTCCCCCTGGTGGTCAGTGCACATCATAGCGAGCAGTTGAGTGGCCTTAGCATATCATTAGCATATTACACTTTGATTGGTTGAACGGCTGACCAGCTGACCAGACACTTAGCATATTAGGCTTTTATTATATAGGATATCCTAACTTTACAGAAAATCAATCTTTGTGTTAATGGCAAAGTTGGAAGGAACAACATGGTGTGCTAATGGCCACTCTTCCAAGTACATACAGGGTTCATGAATGAGAAGTTCACTCAGATGTCTAAAAAATCACTGACCCTATTCCTGGAAGTGCCAGAAGGAGAACTACATGGACTTGTCAAGGCTATTGAGCCAGGTGGGTAACAGGGCACTTTGGGCACTGAAAATCAGGGATCGGTAGTCAATATGTTACCTCCCTTCCATAACACCAGCTGTTAAGGGGTGGATTCTGACACAGAAACAAAAAAGAGCCCAGCATTAGGTTCTCTTTGGGAAATCCCCAGAAAGCTAAAGCTAGACAATGTCCTATTTCCTCAGATGATGAAAAATAATTGCTCTTTTATGCTTAATACTTAAGATGAGGACCTTCAGCATTTGACTGTAAAGGGCTGCATTCTCCATGAGGAAGAAGCCTAAGTCCCTTGTCAGAATCCCAGCCTCATCTTTCAGAGACTCCTTTCCTACTGTGGCTTGAGGGATGCTCTATTGACCATCATTCCTTTTCAGTGACTATGCCAGAATAAATAACTAAGAGGGACATGTGATTTTCACTGCCACCAGGATGCCAACATGTCCCCTAACTCTGGGGAACATCTTCATAAATTCTAAACATCCTGAATAACCCAGAATATAGCAAATGAAAGACAACTTCCTTATCTGTGTATCAGTCTAAGTTAAGACACATAATATGCCACTGGGGGGGAGGGGGGGCATACAAAACATCTAAACAAAAAAATAGAGGGGGAATGGGAGACAGCAGTAAAAGTTGGCACAGACAATGACTTGGTTGGGACTTTAAAAATTGGCTATATCTTAAAAATAAATACATAAAACACTCCAATTGTGATCAGGTGAGTTGACTTGAGGCGGCAAAAGGATTGGTATTGGCATTGCAATTTCTCATTATTGCCACTGTATGTTATTAGCTAACTTGCCAAAGGTGAGATATCCAAGGGATCTTCATCCAAGTGAGCAAATATGTAACTTAAGTAAAGTTAAGATTCCTGAGTTGTCTCAATTCTTTTTATCAAGGGAGGTGTATGATCCAAAAGGACTCCTGGATCCAAATTTGTTGCTTGCTAGCTCTTCTCACCCCAACATTTTATTTGAAAGTTTACAAATATACAGTCAAGTTTAAAGAATTTTACAATGAACACCCATATCAATTACCTAGATTCCACCATTAACATTTGACTATACATGCTTTATAACATTTATCTACCCTATTAACCATCTTATTTTTTCATGAATGTCAAAGTAAAATGCAAATATTAGCATATATTCCCATAAACATGCAAATCAATCACTGGAATTCAATATTTATTTAGTTTTTGCTTTTTTTAATAAAAAAGAAAAACTCATATATAATGAAATCCAAGTACCCAGATGTCTTTTTTTTAAATTTAAGTTCTAACTTCTCTCCTTTATAAAAATTGCTAGGGCCTGGCTCCAAACTTCATAACCAAACCTAACAGGGAAATGGTACAGTATTTGCACAGAAATGCCCCTGAAGATCTTTTTTTTTTAATGATCATAAAGAACAGGCAGCTATGTATAAGCCCCCTCTTTAATATGGTGAGATCCCCAAGACCTCAAGATACTAGACTTTTAAAGACTGGTCAATATTATCTAGTTTAACAATTAACAAAAGCCTATCCTGAGTGTTATATTTTTTACTCTGTTTTAACATTTATCTTCAAAGCTAATGGATCAGATAAGATCGTCTAGTTCATAATAGATAGTTGCCCCATAATCTCATTAATGCATTTGAGTAAAAACATTCACTCTTCTTATATGAAAAAGAGAACAGAAAATAAAAATCAATAAGATTATCCAGAAAAAGGCCAGTAATCTCATAACTGCTTGGAAAATTTCATTTACAAAGAACATTATCAGGAAAATAATTCGTGTGAGTAAAATTACCTTCCCATTTATCACCATCAGAAATATTCTTCAGATCTAAATGTGGAATTTGGACACATGCTGCTTCTCCTTGAACACCACTTTGATCTCCTGGCACTTCTGATTCAGTGTTGGCATTCAAATCACATATCTTGGTACAAGAGTCCTGTATTTTAAAATAAAGAATACATTTCACATCTAGGAAGCTTTTCATACCCAGCTGACAGACAACCAGCATATATCCAGTGTAGTCTTCATTAGTTTACTGTGCCTATACAATAAGTTGCCCCACTCCCACCATCCACAATACTTTCAAATGTAAATTTGCAGTTTTATATGTCTTATTAGGAAACAATGTTTGGACCCCAAATTCAGGAAAGTATTTTCATAACTAAGTTTCTTGTAACCAAAAGTAACATAGTAAGTGCTACTTTAACTGTAAAACATTTGGTAAGAGTATATTTTAAACCCCCTTGAAATCTATACAACTCAAAAGTTAAAAGCCAGATATAATAATTAGTAGCTTAAGCCTAGTCAAATTTCTAAGAACCATAAAAGAAAAAGAATTCTTACCAGAATTAAGTGCGACAATTTATCACTGTCAAATGACAAATATTCTTTCCTAAAAATACAAATAAAATTATTAGTCTTTTAAGAATAAATAGGTTACTATCATTGCATATTTCTTACCTAGATTCATCTCTTCCCCATAGAGTTAGCATTTATAATGTGACAGAAGAATGACAACTAGACACATTCCCATTCTTTGGAGCCCTATATCTGAAAATCACACACTACTGAAAAGATCCACAGAATCACTTCAGGTTAGAAAAATTAAGTAACACTCACCACCTTCCCATACAACCACACACACCCCCCAAAATTTTTTTTAAACTTAAAAGAAAAATAAGCCCGGCCAGAGTGGCTTAGTTGGTTGAGTGTCATTTTGTGCACCAAAGGGCTGCCATTCAGGGCACATGCCTGGGCTGGGGGTTTGATTCCCATATGGAGCACATGTGGAAGGCATCCAACCAATCAATGTTTCTCTCTCTCTGCCTTCCTCTCTCTAAGCATGTCCTCTGGTGAGGATTAAAAAAAAGAAAATCCAAAATAAATAGAAACCAAAAGAACTGAATGTATAATACAAAAGATTTTGTCAAATAAATATTAGTTTTAACCAAACAGCTCTATAGTCCCTCACTCTAGGATATATTTTTCTTTTAAAGATGATTTTAGAAAGGTATAGTTATGACCTATATCTTAAATCTGATTGTGTTCTATCACAATCAAAACTTCTAAACATCTCCTTCCTAAAAATATCATGATAACATGTAAATAGGAAATTTTATTTCAATTCACCTCGTATTTCCCCACAAAAACCCACCCCTATTTAGAACAAGTGTAACAGCAAACTATCACAAATGATCTCTGCCTATATAACCAGTCAACAGAGCATCTAGTATCATAGTAGGTAAAAAATATAGTTACTGAGGGAAACTTCTTCTCCCCAAAGACACTGTGCCAATTTACAATGATATGCACAGGTGTTACTTCTACCCTGCATAAGAGGGTATGCACTCAGAAAATAGGTCTTGATCTAAATAGGGCAAGTCATCTCCTCATATACCTAATTAATTACCTTATTCTTGCTGAACATGTAAACAACTAAATTCCCTGGCAAACTCAAAGGCCTTCCTTTGCTTAGAATGGGAACAAGTGGTGGGATAAGCTAAATTGTACCCTAACAGACTAAATTCGAGAAACATGTGTGTTAAACATACAAAATGTAAAATCCACCTAACCAAGAAACTCTTTGGATCTAAAACAAGTTTGCTAACCTATACACAAGTTGAAGAGGAAAGAGCTTTTTCCAAAAAGATTGAGTCCTCACTAAATGGATCCTTATTGTTCTACCAAATCCAGATGTCATCATTCTGGGGATGCCTGTCAATGCTGTTAATCTTATATCTTCAGCCCATAGCTCCAATACTCCCTGGGCTGGAAGAGGATCATTCCTGCCTCCTGAAAGGAAGCACAAGGAACTGCTGTAAGCAGGAAATCTGTGGACCTTCAGAGTATGGGGACACTCCAGAGACATGGCTCCAAAGAATTTACTTACCCTCAGGGAACAGGTTTCCTACTCACAATTAAAAGAGACAATGGCATTAACTCAAGTGTATCCTTGCCAACAGGCTATCACCAAATTAATAATGCTATTTGGAATTTCTCAGTATTTACAATCCAGTCTGCAACTTTATTACTGATTTGTTTTCAGAATATCAATTATCTTTCCTAAGAAAGTTACAATACACTTCTTAGCAACATCTTAAAGAATCACAAAAAGGGTAACAAAATCTAAAACCTACGTGGTGACTTAAAACATTTTAGAAAACTTCTTTCTGTTCAAAGAGACTCTATCTATTGAGTATTAGAGTCTCCATTATATATGGAGACTACATATGGCTTAAATATTCACTGCTGCAAAGAATCCCCTTCCTATTACTGCTGGTAAACAAGGAGGGAAACAAGCATCAACTGCATGAGATGGTTATGCAAAGTGAAGTAAGTCAGAGGAAAAAGACCCCCTAAAAAATATAATTCAAACAAACTAACAAAATGAGCTAAAACAAACTCATAGGTAGACACAACACAACAGTGGCTACCAGAGGGGAAGGAGGGTGGGGGAGAGCAAATTAGGTAAAGTGGGCCAAATATCGGTATACAGATATCGAATTATATAATGTTGTACACCTGAATCTTATATATTAATGATGTTATCTCAATAAATTTAATTTTTGTTATAAAGAGACAGTCCTGGGACATACCAAGGAGAAGAGGAACAAAAACATCCTATACATATTTGTTGAAGCAAATATACTACAATCTTTCAGTCATGCATAGTTCCAAGACTATACACTGAAAGGTATATTCAGAGTATCAATAAATTCCTAATTGTTCTACAAATCAACTGAAAGTTTTAAGTGTCTCTAAGGTGGCTGTGTTCATCCCTCTGAATGTTTTCCAAGTTTTAACTGTCGGAACCTACACCCCTTTGAATTTAATCAGCTTTATGCTTACCATTAAAATAAGAAGCTTGGTTCTTTAGATTATCTAAAATATATGCTACAAAAGAGTCATCGAAAAATTCCACCCACAAATTTAAGAACTCCAAATCTCAAAATGATTCATTAATTAGCAACAATAAGAGAAAATGCTTACCTCTCAAGACAGCCATCTTCACTATCACCATGGTCACCACATGGCTCTAACAGTATACCTACAGACTGATAAAAAGAACACCACTACTGTATTAATGGAACTCCTAATACTCATATATGAGAGGAAGTTTCCGATCTTAATTAGAGAAGTAGATCACAAGTTAGTCAAATGCCCTTCTTTAGCTCACTACCTTATCATGTAATAGGTACTACTACCACTATCACATTCTTTTTCCTTCCTTATAATTCTCTCCTCCAAAAAAGATGGTTTTGTGTCCCACTTGCAAACTCTGCTTCTCCTGAGTCACAAACATAGAAGTTGGTAACTTCTTAGCAGGTGACAGAGAGGTCATGTAGTTCACCAGATCCTTTTATTTGAAATAACAACTGTGAATCTCAAAACACATAAGAACACTCCTCCATTTCTTAATGGGCTTAGTGACACCATCCCATTCCTATTACTCCCCATAATAAATACCTACCAAGTCTAACACAAATGTCCTGTGCATTACTACAAATTATGTAAACTTCTTAGTGTTTATCACTACCTCTGAAATAAACAAAGGGTTCAAGTCAAGATTCTTTTTCTTTTCATTTGTTTTTTTTTAAATTTATTGATTAAGGTATTACACATGTGTCCTTATCCCCTCATTACCCCCCCCACTCATGCCCTCACCCCCCTGTTGTCTGTGTCCATTGGTTAGGCTTATATGCATGCATACAAGTCCTTTGGTTGATCTCTCCCCCTTACCCCCACCCTCCTCTACCTTCCCTCTGAGGTTTGACGTTCTGCTCGATGATTCTCTGTCTCTGGATCTGTTTTTGTTCATCAGTTTATGTTGTTCATTATATTCCATAAATGAGTGAGATAATGTGATATTTGTCTTTCTCTGACTGGCTAAGAAACTGACCCAATTTTGTTTAATATGAAAGATAGTCCATAATTATCTGAAAGAGCTATTAAAATACTTCTCCCTTTTCCATCTACTTATCTCTGTAAGGCTAAACTGTCTTCATACACTTCATACAAAAGAATCTATAGCAACAACCATGACACTCCTCAAAATAAAAAAATTTTAAATAGCCGCTTTTTATTAAGAAAAAAAAGCAACCTTATTTATGTTACCTTGAATGAGTGTATTATTGTTTTATTTGAGTTAAGAAACATTTTTATATTTCTGTTTTAATTTCTAATATAGTAAAACTGATAAATATACCTATGTTGTTGTTGTTAATCCTTACCAGAGGATATTTTTTCCATTGATAATTAGAGAATGGAGGGGGGAGGGGTGAAACGACATCAATGTGAGAGAGACACATCAATTGGTTGCCTCCCACACACACCCCAACCTAGGGCAGAGATCGAACCTGCAACCTAGGTACATGCCCTTGACCAGGAATCAAGCCCTCGACCCTTCGGTCCTCAGGTCAACGCTCTAACCATTGAGCAAACAGTCCAGGACAAGGATCCTCAATAACATCTATATCTATAAAACCCTAATATGCAAATAGACCGAACAGCGGAACAACTGGTTGCTGTGACATGCACTCACCACCAGGGGGCGTGGGTGGAACATGGCAGGCATCAGCCATGGCGGGATGGTGGAGCAGGTGAGCAGGGGCGCCAGACCAAGGTGGGGCACCTCGCCAGTCACTGTCATCAGGGCAAGCCTCTGGCAGGGAAGCCTACTGAAAATTCTCTGCTCCCGCACACCACAGTCCCACCTGGTGCTAGCACCTGCTGCTGGCACTGGCCTCACTTGTACCCACTGCCGGCGCCAGAGCCACCACTCGTAGCCGCTGCCGGTGCCCGGCACCAATCCCTCAGCACCGTCAGTGGGTGTGAGCGGCGGCTGCTGGCCCTGATTGCCCCTCAGGGCTTCTCCACCTCCCCCTGCTCCTGAGGGGCGATAGGGACCGGCAGCCGCCTCTCACACCAGCTTCCGGTGCCAGAGCTACTGCTCACACCCACTGCCGGCGCCGACCCCACTTGCACCCACAGCTGGCACCCAGCACCGGTCCTGATCACTCAGTGCCGTCAGCAGGTGCAAGCAGCGGCTGCTGGCCCCGATCATCCCTGAGGGCTTCTCCACCTCCCCCTGCTCCTGAGGGGCAATCGGGGGCCGCTGTGAGGGGGTGGGCGGGGACACAGAGCATGGGCTGAGACCCGCCCCCGTGCCCACCACAGCCTCGCGGCCCACAGTTCCTTTCAAGGTGCACAAATTTGTGCACTGGGCCCCTAGTCTATATAGATAAAAGCCTAAGTGACTGGACGGCCGGTAGCTATGACACACACTGACCACCAGGGGGGCAGACACAACGCAGGAGCAGAAACCACAGGCATGGAAACATGGAACAGACTGATGAATCTCAGAGAGAGGAGGGGGGAGGGCAGGAAGAGATTAACCAAAGATCTTATATGCATACTAGAGGCCAGTGGGGTCCCTTGGCGTGGCCTGTGCCCTCTCGCATCCAGGGTCCCTCAGGGAATGTCGGAAAGCCGGTTTTGGCCTAATCCCCGCAGGCCAAGCCAAGGGACCCCACCGGTACACTAATCCGTGCACTGGGCCTCTAGTTTAAGAATATAAAGAGGTCCTGAGATACACAGTGTGAGAAGCACTGGTCTAGAAATAGACTTCAGCAACCTTCATTTTCTAAAACATGAGATCATTTGATGTGGCCCTGCCAAGACAGTAAGGGTGAGTTAATTAAATTTTTGACCAAATATAGCAGGCTAATTTTTAAATTGATAATTTTATATGGCCCTCAAATGATGTTATAAATATCCAAATGGCCCTTGGCAGAAAAAAGATTCCCTACCCCTGCTCTAGAATATAGTTGCTTCATTCTTAAATATGAAGATTTCTGGGTACATGAAATAACTATTACCCAGACCAAATATTTAAAATGAGACCTGGTGTTTTACTCAAAGAACCAAATTAAATCCTAGCTCTACCTTCCTCTCTCTAAAATCGATAAATAAAAATAATTAAAAAGAAATGTTAATGAAAATTACAATGTTCAAGTTTCCCATAATAGGCTGTAATTTAAAAAATCTGCTGGAAGAAGTTTATGGGGAAAAAAGGAAGACCTATGTAATACTTTCAACAATAAAGATTTTAAAAAAATCTGCTATTGGTGAAGGCACCATGAAATAGGTACTTCTATGCACTGTTAATTGATAGTGTAAATTGGTTAAATGGAGGGCCATTTGGCAATATATAGTAATATTACAAATGCTTATATTTTATAACCCAAAATTCTTCTTCTATAAATTTATCCTAAGATAAGCTTGTACAAGGTGAAATGGTTAATTCTGAGGCTATTCACTGCAGCATTTATTTGAATAGGACAGTTTGGGTTTTTTTTAATAGTTTTATTTTATGTCAGTATGATGGAGGAGAAATTAAAATGGATAGATGGGAATAAGGAGGTGACTTTTCTATATATCCTTTTGTAACTAAATTTTTTACTATCTGAATATATCGCTTTTTCAAAAGACAAATATGTAAAAATTGTATCTTAAAATCTGTAGAGCCCTGGCTGGTGTGCTCAATGGTTAGAGTGCCGGTCCGTGCACCAAAGGGTCACCAGTTCGACTCCCAGTCAAGGGCACCTACCTGGGTTGCAGGTTCAATCCCTAGTTAGGATGCATGCGGGAGACAACCAATCAATGTGTCTCACATACATGTCTGTCTCTCTCTCTCTCTCTCTCTCTCTCTCTCTCTCTCTCTCTCTCCTGCTCCTTCCCAAAACTCTCTTTAAATAAAAAAAAAAAATTCAACGGAAAATATTTTCCTCAGGTGAGGATTATCAAAAGAGGAGGAAAAAGGTTG